ATTGGCTAAATGGGAAGTAGACTGAGGAACACAGAAATCTGCTCGCTCTTTAATTAGGGAAACACCTCAATTTGCAGAGAAGCTTAATTTAATTAATTATATTTATTTAAGATAAATGAAATTAACTTTGAAAATTGAGATAATAGTTGGAACAAAAATTTCAATTATAAAGATCCCAAATTGCAAAATAAAATTATGTTTTAGTTGACTAAATAAAATACTTATATTAAATTCAATAAAACTTTTCACATTATAAAGATCCCAATTTGCAAAAATAGTGTGCCGAATGTAATACAAGTTATAGAACTGTCTGTCAAAAAAACCAAACAAGTGTAAATTAAATTTGGAAATCTGATTCTTCTGAAGAACTATCTGAACCGGAAGCCGAGCCCCAGAATTTCGAAACTGCAGAACTCTGTTCAGACACGAGTGACGAAACATGGCAAGTAGCTGTCTTAAAATCCCGAAAGCGTAGAACAGCATTTACACGGTCATCGTCGCCCGCAGTAACAATACGACACCCGTCAACAGCCATTGCAGAGCATCCTCCCATGTCTGGAGCAGAACAGATTAACGAATTCGTCTGTGCACCGCTATCGGATTCCCAAACATTAACAAACAGGTCGTCGGGCCCACCCGTAACCACCTTGTGAGCATCCATGTGTAAAAGCTTTACATGCCCAACATGCCCTTCCAATTCAGCCTTCGGTTCTACTTTAAGCGTGTCCGAAACTCTCCTCATATCCCACAGTAAAGCACTGCAACAGTTTTTTGCCGATAATATGTTAGTTAGTTATTGGTTCGATTTACATTGTGCAGCAATAAGTAACCTGGTTGATTATTACCTGTCAGTTCCACCGGTGCAAAGTGAGTATTTAGAGGGCAAGAATTCGAATGAATGTATTTTCGATTTCTGGACTATTGTGAAGGCCCTATTCATTGTCCTTAAATCGATTGCTGTGACAGATGTGCCAGCAGCAACATAGAGCAGAGATTCGTGGCATTTCATTCCCACGGGTGCGATAGGTACAGATGTCATTCCCACACAACACGACGAACGAATACAAGAAGATGCTGTTGTGGTGTCCCAAATCCTAACCTATCAAAATAGTTTTGGTAAGAATGCATTACGATACGATCCCTTGTAAGATTACACTCGAGCTCAGATTTAGCATAATTTATCAATCACATCTAGCGTGTCGTGAAACTACTATTAATTTCAACGAAAAATTTAGTTTGATAGATCCAACAACATAGGATCACAAAAGACAAAAGAGGGGAGAAAGGCGAAGATCTCCTGTAAGAGAAAAAAGTAACAATACCTTGCCATTGTTTGAGATGCTCACCAGAAGAGATGTTTTGTGCCTGGCAAAAGATATAAAAATTCATTTAAGTTTAAGTTAGTCAGATTTACATTTAAGATATTTTAATTATAATAATATCAAGTATATGAGTTCTGAATTAAATTATATCAAGGTTCTTGCATGCAATTCGGGAATGAAGCAGCATTATAACAAGAGCCAAGGTTTGATGTGCGTAAAAGCATACCCAGCAACTGACATCAGCGAAACAACATTTTCATGACCGTAGAGTGTGGCCTTCAATGCCTGCTGCCCTCGTTTTCCAGTACAGTTTATCGACCAAAGTCGAACAGTACCATCTTCACCTCCACTAGCAAAACACTTTCCAGTATCATCACCTAGTAGTTTATCTGAGAGGGTCAAAACTGGGGCATTATGACCTTTGAAGCATCGGCTCCCTCCCTACAAATCAGGGGTGCATAAATTTGGACTTTCGAGTCAGTAAGTGAACTACAACCTACAGAGTTAGACCGTATTGTATTTGAATATTCACTGTACCTTCGACCACAATCGAATAAAATGGTCACTACTTGATGTTACCAAAATGTTATCGTCTCTTCCGGAGTCACTTTGATAAAGATACGTGTCATTGAGTGAAAACAATCTGCAGATCACAGAATTCTGCTCAATAATCACATAACAAGGTGAACTTAAAAATTTACATCTGTTTGGAGAATCTATGATATGATACAGAGACGAACTTAAAATTTAACTCCCTTTGAAGATGAAATTAAAAGGACGAAGATGAATCGAAACTTCTAGAATATCTGATATAATGTAGTCAAGAAGAGAAACAGAGAAACTGCCAACCTCATACAAGTAACTCTAGCCTTATGGTTACCACGATTTGCAACTGAGATGTTTCCATCAATGAGATCATCAATGTGCAAGGACCGAATCGACTGACCCTGCAAATGTAATCAGATTGAGAGACAACCAATTGAAACAATGATACTATCCATTTCGCTTGATACTTGAAATACAGAAATAGCAACTCATTTTCATATTATTTTTCGACAAACAATAGGAACTCATTTGAGTTCACAAGAAATGGCATTCAAGAGGAAAGGAAAAAAAATAATTGAGTCCCGTTCATTCCATCTTCCACGAACGTATATTATTCTACACTCACATAATGATAAAACTCTACTTACTTAATGTGTAGTCCAATATTCTTAAACCATAACTACACGTAATAACTTCAGTTGAATCATGGTTTAAGGCCTCTTTTGTGAAAGTAATCTTTAACACCAAAGATAAACCGCACCGTCGTAGACCAGTTGTATATCTAAAGAACAATTCAAAAAAATGGGAAAATATGAAAACAAGCACCTGCGAGAATAAAATGGTGTTTTTGTCGAACAATATCTGATGCGGTCGTTTTCCAACTGTAGGTATGTGACGGAATAGAGGATCGACGTATTTAAACTGGCGTAAAGCAGTATGCCTAAACAGATACGCTTCTCTCATACTGGATGATTGATTAGAGCCATTTGGCCACAGTGGTGCAACATTCTGCCATTCCTGCCTGTGGTGTGAACGCAAAATATAGATTATCGAAACAGAACAAATATCACAGACCCACAAACAACACACATCGAAATCAGACTACTACTACCAATTTCACAAGTAGATATAGTGTAACAATCGATCTCACTTATCAGTCATTCACATGACAAATATATAAAAATAAAATTACAAAAATCACATGATACAGTAACTCAATTTGATTCCAATGTTGCTATGTAAAAGTAAAAAAAAAAAATTAAAAAAAAAAATAAATAAATAAATTAAAAAATAATCGGAGCTTACCTGAAAAATGATTGCCATACAGAATCAGAGTATGCAACTCTGTTGAGGATTTTACACGACACGGCCATATTCGAGATGTCCTGGATGCTGAGGTAACTCGCGCAGCGAGTCAGGGTGTCCATGTCAAGATCCGTTATGGTTGTGGAGCTCCGACCCGACGATGACGGGTCCGCCATCAAATTTCAATTTTTACTTCAGCTGGAAGAAGAAAAAAAAAACAGTAATTACATATCATCTACGACAACAAATGAAACCCTAGAAACGAGAATTACATGAACAAATTACGTTATGTCGGGGAAAACACAAACGAGACTCACACCGTCGTCGTGTTTCTCTGTCCGACAATAATTCGACGTCGTTTTGGGGATGAGAAGTTTTTATTTCTTTTACAATTTACCCCCTATACTCTAACTGATTGTCACTTTACTCATCATACTATTTGATATAATAGTTGAGTCCCGTTTACCTCAATTTGTATCACTTTACCCCCTCGTACTCTTTAATTGTCTAATTTTAACCCCTTGTACTCTTTAAAAATGACTTAGCTATCCTCAAATATAAATAATGGTGAAATAAATTCAAAATGTTTTTAAATTCGTTTTTTATTTTCAACTCTATTAACATATTCTTGGTATCTTCTAGAAAAAATGGTGTTCTCATTTAATATTTTGTTGTACTTTAAACTTAATAACTAAATTTTAAATTAATACAATTTTTTTGAAACATATAGGAATAATTTTATTAACTATTCTATCATAATTATGAGTTTTTGCAGGTTTTTTTTATGATATTAATTAAGAAAAATACTAGTAGAATTTCAATATGAGCTTACACTTCGTAGTATTTGAAGTAAATGTTCGTCATTTTACAATCACGTTGTAGTTGAAGAGAATATTCATTATTCTATTATAATGGTCATTTAATTGTTTCAATACACTAATGAAACAATTGTTAATCAATAATTAATATCAATAAATTATGGGGGCAATTGGATACATCAATTATCAATACAGGAGAAACTATATGTGTTAATAAAGTGTGCTTAATGGGTAAACAAATTGTTCATAGATTAATAAGTTGATTTCAATAAACTTGAGGATAGAAAAACCACAACATGTTTAAAAGATATTGAAGAAAATTATAAAATTAAATACAATAAAGTTAAAAAAAATATCTACCCTCATTAATTAATAATTAATTATAGAGTTTTCATAGGAAATTATAGTTAATTTTGCCAAAATTTGTATTCGATCATAACATTGTGTTTTGTTTTTTACCCAAGTTAATACTCCCTCCGTTCCTAAATAATTGTCACTTTTCATTTTTCACAAAGATTAAGAAACTCAATAAATATATCTTGATTGTAGAAAAATCATATAAAAATGACTAAAACAACTTTTCATATTTAATGATTTATAAGAGAAAATTAATGAATAGAGTTTTATTAATAAGGTTAAAACAGGAAAAATGCATTTAATGAAGTATTGGAAATCTAAAGTGACAGATAATATGGAACAAAAATATTTTAAAAAAGAAACAGTTATTGTGGAACAGATGGAGTATTTGAATTTAATAATTTAGCACCCTTGCATGTACATCGAATTGCTAAAACTCCCGATATTAATAATATTAGCACAAAAAGCGATGATGTATTTAATTTAGGACTTAAATGCCAAGGTTTTAGTTTCTAGAGGTAGTTTTGCCAAAACAATGAACTATAGGGTTTTGTTTACTAATATGAATAACATGTGGAGCTTTTTGATAATTAGTGTAAAAAAAGGGTGTTAAATACAATAAATCCTTAATCTCTTACCCATGATCCGTACCATCTACGTAGGTGTTTGACCTGGATTATCAGAGCTCGATCAATTTCTATTATTCCCATCTACCCTTCGTTGTTCGATTTCGCCGATTCGCTTCAGATCTGTGGCATAAATATGTACGGATTCGAAGCGCTTACCTTCAACATCCACGGTGGTTACCTGGAGGCCATCGTCCGAGGATACCGCTCCGGCCTCCTCACCGCCGCCGATTACAACAACCTCTGTCAGTGCGAAACCCTAGATGACATCAAAATGCACCTCTCCGCCACCGAGTACGGGTCCTATCTCCAAAACGGTGAGTCAGTCTATTATGTATTTTTGTCTCTTGATTACTGGCGACGAGCTTTGGGATTTAATCATGAATCATATTCTGTTCATAAAATAGTCAGTTTATTTGTTAATTTTGAATTGATTAGGTTGATACGCTTGATTTTGTCTTAATTTACTAAATTAGCTTGTAATCAATCATATCAAATTCAAAATGCTGTTTCTTTTGTTTCTCGTTCTTTTTTCCCGGGATTATCCTTATATACTTATTGCTATAAGGTAGTTGAATTAGTTGCAGTACGCGTTTTGCTCGGACAATAATGATTAGTTGATTTATGAAGTTTGAATTGCTAGTTTTGCTCATGAAAGTAAATACTGCTGCATTCTGGAGCGATTGGGAAACTCCACCCGATCGTTTTATGTCAGCCTGTTTTGTTTAGGTTGTCAGTAGTTGGTCCGCGTTGTTTTCCTTGTTTTAAGTTTCACCTCCGAAGTCTATTTAGTTTGCACTAAAAAATTTTGCTGCTGATGTGCTTCTCATGATTAGTTGTTTTATGAAGTAGGATAGTTGGTTTTATATTGAATTCTTTAATATCCTCATCTGACATGAAGCTACTAATTTGTTTTGGTCGTTACTTTATCTATCTAATTTATAACTGTTTTGGTTGTTTTATGGAATTGCAGAGCCCTCTCCGTTGCATACGACAACAATAGTGGAGAAATGCACCCTCAAACTGGTTGATGAGTATAAGCACATGTTAACTCAGGCCACCGAGCCTCTTTCAACCTTTTTAGAGTATATCACGTGCGTAGATCTCTATTCGACAGTTTTACCATAGACACCTGATTTTCTATCTATGTTCGATTAGTATATGTTTTATGGTTCAACAGCTGTGTTTAAGTCTTTGTTTATTCTTTGCTTATTTTTAGATATGGTCACATGATTGACAATGTCGTTCTAATTGTGACTGGAACTTTGCATGAGAGAGATGTTCAAGAATTGTTGGAGAAATGTCATCCCTTGGGAATGTTTGACAGGTACTATCTCTTTTGAATCATTGTGAAGATAATTTGAATTGACAATTCATTATAAAGTTTCAATATATTTCCACAGTATTGCTACACTGGCAGTAGCTCAGAATATGAGGGAGCTCTACAGACTCGTGCTTGTTGACACACCCCTGGCTCCATACTTCTCTGAGTGCATAACTTCGGAGGTATTTCCTGTTGCTTTGAATTTCCTAAGTTGGGATTGTTCTATCATTGCAGTTATTGGTTTTGGTTTCGTTTACTGTTTTTATCATAGGAGTCTTATTTACTCATGGTCTTGCTATGATTGTTCTCAAATCTGAATGGATATATTTGCCAAAAAAGATATGCTACAGATTTCTATATTTCAGTTCTTTGTTATCAATTATGAAATGTGTTCAGAAGATGAAGAAAGCCAATTTCAGTTGTCCCCATATCATTAGCTCAAAGTTCTGGCGATAGTAAAAAAAATTAGATGATCAGTTTTAGTATCAATTAGCGTTATTGAGTTGTTGTCTGTCGGGATACGTAATAATCCAATATTAGGAAAGAGCACCTATTGATCTCTTCTAATTGATATAACATGTTTTTGCTTTTATTAGTTTGGACTTGGTGAAAAATAAGGTCCTTAATATGCACAGTTTTGTATATGTGTATGTTTTTCTCTTATTTGAGTATTTCTGCAGGATTTGGATGACATGAACATTGAAATTATGAGGAATACTCTGTACAAAGCATACCTTGAGGATTTCTACAGATTTTGTCAAGTAAGAAATAATTTTGGAATTTTCCAAGATTCTTTTCCCTTTTGCTATAATTTTCTATGTTTCTGTACTTTTATCTAATATAACATAAAAAATTACAACATAGAAACTTGGTGGCGCCACTGCAGAGATTATGTCTGACCTCCTAGCATTTGAGGCTGACAGGAGAGCAGTCAATATCACAATAAACAGGTTTGGCTGCACTCATAAAAATATTCCTATTTTTTTCAAGAGTATTTGGTAGTACCATGTTTTGAATCCTTATATGCTTGTATATCCAGCATTGGCACTGAGCTTACTCGAGATGATCGGAGGAAGTTGTATTCTAATTTTGGCTTACTGTAAGCCTTTCGTGTACCCTTCTCTTTACATTTTCACACTGTTTCAGACATTCTTGAACTATTTCTTCTGTCACTAACGGCATAATTGTCGGACAGATATCCTTATGGTCATGAAGAGCTTGCTGTTTGTGAGGATATGGATCAGGTATTAAACACTTTCGGTGGTTAGTCTTTTGTGAAGAATTATGCTTATTATATTGTTTCATTTTTTTGTTTGAGTCCTGCTTCCTAATTTGAAATTATTAAGTAAAGTTTTCCAAATTGCTTAAGAGCTTATTCCGACAAGTAGCCCCTAAGGTAGAAAATAGAAAGTCATGAAAGAAAGCATATGAACAGGTGAATATCCCTTTTCCTTGGTCCAGGACCAGGCTTCTAAGGGTTGTGAACAGCTAACAATTAACATAATGATGATTTTTGTTTAAGAGATATTTAGATGTGGTGCTCAAATGTCTATGTTAGTGGTGCAAGTTTCAACCCAATTCAATAAAAGAGGCAGGTTTCGAATTAGGAGTTAAATGTCTACATTCGTCTTCTACTAGCTGGCGTCCATTTATTTTGCATGTTGTTTAAACAAATTTGCTGAAGCTCTTAATTTATGTTCGTCCATCCAATCTAGGTTCGGGGTGCAATGGAAAAGTATCCTCCTTATCAATCCATATTTTCCAAGTTATCCTATGGCGAGAGTCAGATACTCGACAAGGCCTTTTATGAAGAGGAAGTGAAACGACTTTGCTTAGCATTTGAGCAGCAGGTTTGCTTTCTCAGAGCTCGATGTTGAAATTGGTGGTCCCGTTATTTACAAGAATTAACGATTATTAATGACTATCTACATCTTTCTGCATTAGTAATTACGCGGAGCACCATTCCATATTGCAATTTTTGAATTGGAAATAATTGATTTATCCATAATCTTTTGTTGATGCAGTTCCATTATGGTGTCTTTTTCGCTTACATGAGATTGGGGGAGCAGGAGATCAGGAACTTGATGTGGATATCTGAATGTGTTGCACAAAACCAGAAGTCGAGAGTGCACGATAGTGTTGTTTTTATATTTTAGCAAGTCCCATTTTTCATTCATATATTTATGTAAATTTTTGTTTCTTTCGGTTGGTTGCGGAGAGTGTTTGTTTCTAATGATTGAGTTGGGAGGGGAAATGACATTAAAATAGCACAACCATAATAATGTCTCTTAAAAGAAATCATTTTTATTGGTCTTGTACTTGCAATTTTGCTTGTGACATTCAGAATTCGACTTGTGCAAACTACTAGGTAGAATGATATAAAAAGCTACAAATGAATTTTTTAATGCTTTGAATATCACAAGGACAGATGTCCTAGAGATTGTAGGAATTAATCGTAGCATTTAGATCAATTCGTAGCATTTAGATCAAGATGATAGAAAATCTTCTAAGACCTTTTAGGATCTCACATGCATTAACGTAGAGATACTTAGAGGGTCTTCCTTTGTATATATTTGGTAGGAGATTGTAGGAGTTAATCGTAGCATTTTATCACCAAGGTGAAGTTGTATAAATACTTAGAGGATTCTAGAAGATCTTCTAGAATCCTCACATACATTAACGTACAGATACACCTTAATCGTAGCATTTTATCACCAAGGTGAAGTTGTATAAATAGAGATAGGTAGCATTTTATCACCAAGGTGAAGTTGTATAAATAGAGATAGAGATAGGTTCATTTATTTGTAATCATCCAAGCCCTTTCACAACATTGCATAATTACTGGCAAGGCAACTTTGTTAAATGTGGAGTGAAACTTTTAGTTAAGAAATTTCAACGCATTCATTCACCTTCACCCTTCCTTCATCAGATGTGACTTGAATTTCAACATGGCAACATCAGAATCACCCGAAACATTAGAAACACACGACTTGAACATTTTCAAAAGAAGAGAGACGCTACTTGAACTTCAACATTTTTCTTCAACATTTTCAGACATGATTTGAACTTCAACATTTTCAAAAGAAGAGAGACGTGACTTGAACTTCAACATTTTTCTTTAACATTTTCAGACTGATTTGAATTTCAACATTTTTCTTCAACATTCTTCAACATTTTCAAAAGAAGAGAAAAGAAGAAAATGCGGATATAAGAAATAATAGAACTAAAAATCTTATGTTTGTCATTAGCAATAAACCCCTCATATAGATAATAAATGGTGATATGTCCAATCCTTAAATCTTTCTTTGTGATAACCCCTATAATTTGTATTTCCAATTCTACCCTTATGTCAATTAACATAATTAGTCTCAATTATTCCCTTTTTCACTCTTTCCATAACAATAATCTAATTCCTAAAATCTACTTCCAAATTTCTAAAAATTTGCTACCAAATCAAAAAATAGGATTTTTTTTTGTATTATTTTCGGATTTTATAGCCACTTTTTTATTATTTATTATTTTTTAATATTTTTTTAATAAAAAAATATTTTTTTTTAATTTTTTTTAAACAAAAATTTGATTTTTTTTTTTCTCGACAGATTTACAACTCCGAATATGACTATAGTTGAATATGGCTATTATGTGACTACGCTGTGTATAATAGTGTAATTAACATATTGTAGAAGCATAATTATTAATATAACAGTAAGAATATGACTACTATGTGAATGTGAATGTGCTTTGTAAAACATTATAATTAACAGACAGTAGAAACATGAATATGACTATTATGTGACTAGAGTTTGTATAACATACTGAACATGATAGTGGGAATATGACTATTATGTGACTAGCAACTGCGTAATGTGACTACAAGTAATCAGCACTTGAAAATACTTGCAATATTAACAGCAAAATACATTGCAAAAAGAAAAAAAATGACTATGAAAAAACGAAAATAACTAATGTGATCCTTCAACAATGGCCATCGAACATGTTATTTTGTTGCGGTATCCAACTCGGTTGCACCGACTGCACTTAATCTTCCGTTTGATCTTCTATGTTAAATATGACTACACTGTTGAACATATGCAGCACCACAAAAAAAAAAAAAAACAAATATAACTAAGTTGTTAAACATGACTACTCTGTCAAACGTGACTACTCTGTAAAATACATTGCACCACAACCGACTAATCTCGTAATTCAATAGATTTTCCAGATCTAAACACTCAGGATATGTAGAATAACACAAAAATTAATAAAATCAAGAATAATTGAAAATCAATGTATTCGTTCATAACAAACAAATAATAGAACTAAAAATCCAGATCCATAACATATTCTATTGCTAGTTCGACAATTAATTCGAGAAAAATAAAAAATAAAATTTACCAATTAATATAGTATATATTGGTATTCCGCGTTGAGAGAAGGGAAATCTCCATATATAAATCCGACGGAGGCAACGACAAGGTGGGGGAGGCGCCGCCGCCAATTGTACCAGGCGTCGATGTGGTGGTGTTCGACGAGGGGGAGACGATCTCCAATATCGGCGGAGAAGGGCCTCCTGCAACGGGTTTCGGCGGCGGCGTTTGAAGGGTGACTCCGGCGGCGGCGGTCTACAGATGTGAAGAAGAAGGAAAAAGAGAAAAAAAAAAAAAAAGAAAAAAAAAAGCTGTAAAAAGAGAGAAATATCGAGAGAATGAAAGAGAGAGAGGCGAGAACCGAGAGAATCAAATTGAGGGAGAAATAAAATTGTATTATATTAAAAACCTAACACATAGGGGCACTTTAGTCTTATCATGGCTGGTAAGGGGGGTCTCACTAATTTAGATTGGAATGTGGGTTATGGGAAAAGTCTTTAAAGTTAATTGGGTTTAGTTCAAAATATTTTATAAATAAGGGGTGTATTGCATATTTCCCCATAAGAAAAATACATAAAGTGAAAAAAAATAAGAAAATGCGAACATATGAAAAATACAGAAACTGAATTTCAACATTTTTCTTCAACATTTTAAGACGTGCTTTGAACTTCAACATTTTTTTCAACATTTTTAAGTTGAACTTCAACATTTTTCTTCAACATTCTTCAACATTTTCAAAAGAATAGAAAAGAAGAAAATGCCGACATAAGAAAAATACAGAAACTGAAGAAAAGAAGAAAATGCGGACATATGGAAAATATGAAAAATACAGAAACTGAATTTGTTAGCGGTTGCCTCGAATGTCTAACGCATTTGGACTTTCGAGCTCTAATGTCAATGGATTTGGACTTTCGAGCTCTACTAATTTATTTATAATAACAATAATAATAATATTAAAACAAAATTAAATAAAAGTAATTTTGATCTAAAAATTTTGCAAACATAAGAACGAGAATTAGAATCCACGAAAATTGAAAAACAAAACTAATTAATACCGCCGAAATTTTGAAAATTCCATTGGAATTGAAATTTTGACGTAGGAAAATCGGTCAAAATTGGCGAAAAGTCAAATCTAAAAAAAGGCGAATTATGGATTACAGATTATAAATAAATAAATAAATAATAAAAAAAACAAAAGAAATAGGAATCCGCTATTCTAAACAGCCCATAGGAAAGTGTAAATCATGCCCATGGTTTTTCCTTTCTGCTCTCCTCGTAACGAACGGTATCTGCAAATGAAATCTCCCCCCCTACCCCCATTTTTATACCCCACCCACCCACCCCCTTCAAATTTGTTCGTTCGTCCACCATTACACAGAACCAGAGAGAGAAGATTCTCTAGAGAGAGAGAGAGAGAGAGAGAAATATGCGGAATCACATCTCTATCAATCTTTTCATCGACTGCTAAATGAACAGCACAGTTTCGAACCTGGAAATTTCCATTTATAGATATAAAGTACTCTGCTTCCCCTTTTCGTGAAATTCCCCCACCTATTTAATTTTTTTTATTGGATGAAAATGGGGATTGAGCAAAACGGGAGCAGCGGTGGGAAAAGTAGTAAGGTTAGTAATGTATCGGGGGGGAAGAACAAGAGGAAGCAGAAGAAATTCTCTCCGGTTCAGATACTTTACGATACTTGCAGAGATGTTTTCGCTGATTGTGGCCCTGGCATTGTTCCATCTTCTGATCAAGTCGCTAAACTTTCTGCTGTTTTAGGTATTTTATTTCAACCTGAATAAATTGAAACTTGCGTTTAATTTATATATGTTGCATCTCTATCATATGATATGTTATGCTGTTCTTGTTGTAATCTCAGTTTCCGATTGATTTCAGATTTTGCATTTTATTTTTATCTGAATGAGAATTGGTATAGCTTGTAGAATTGGTTTGTTTGTGAAAAGGGGATTTGCCTTATGTTTAGGGTTTATGCAGCTAATTTATAATTAAGCGGTTGTTGTTTCTACATTACTCCACTCAAATAGTTTGTTCGCGTTTGTATATAGTTTGCATTTCATCGACGAACTGAGGAAGTAGTAAAAATGGAAATGCTGGTTTGAAATGTTTATTTTTTAGTCTAAAACAAGTGTCGTCAAACCCCATGCAGATCGAATGACTCAAGCGGACGTTGGCCTACGGCAACCATGCCGTTTTTCAGCAGCGAACGTGCTCCAATAATTACGTATCTGCACCTCCACGAGAGCGACAAATTTTCAGTACGGTAATCTCGTTTGTTTCTCTAATGCGAAAAAATAAATGGAATCTTGATTACTAACTTTATTTGGTTGATTTATTTATTGCAGATTGGAATCTTCTGCTTGCCTCCGACAAGTGTCATCCCACTTCATAACCACCCTGGTATGACGGTTTTCAGCAAACTTCTCTTTGGAACTATGCATATCAAGTCTTATGACTGGGCCAATGAGAAAATCGGTAGCACAAACGGAGAAGCTATTGATCCAAAAGGTATAATGAAACTAAATACTTTTTATGTTTACTTCTCTTATAAAATTACCTCAATAATTTAATGAAGTTGTTTATTAGTGATAAGTGGATTAACCAAAGACATGCAACCGCGTCGGAAAAAAACATTGATTTCCTATGCCATTGAATCATGATATTTGATTTTGGGCTGTACTATAAATAGTATTCGCGTACTTTCTTAAGGATAAATACCGGAAATAAAGACACATGTTGACAGGTGTGTATTCTTTATCGATAAAGTGGGATTTCGGACATAATTCATTTGCCTTTCATATTTAAGCTAGAATCTTCATCATCCGAGCAATTTTTTACCGTTGGATCATTTATTTATTTTTTCATTTCTTTTTGTTTTGATGGTGCAGGTAATCCAGATGGATTACGACTAGCCAAACGGAAGGTAAATTCGGAGTTCACAGCGCCATGCAAAACTTCGATTCTGTATCCAGCAGACGGTGGAAACATGCACTGCTTCACAGCAAAGACTGCATGTGCCGTATTAGATGTGCTGGGCCCACCATACTGTGATCCTGATGGTCGCCATTGTCAGTACTACCATGAATTCCCGTTTTCCAAATTTTCAGGTATATATCTATATCTATATCTATCGACTATAAATATAAAATATCATGTTCGCAAAACATCTCTTCAATTTTTGTTTATCGTTTTTGTGTATGGTGCAGTGGAGAATTTGTGTTTGCCGAGTGAAGAGGAGAAAGAGGGGTACTCATGGCTTCAAGAGAGGGAATTACCGGAAGATTTGTCCTTAGTTGGAGTGCCTTACAACGGACCGAAAATAGTCAAGAAATGATTTGATTTCCGACAACGGAAGAAAAGTTTCTCTTACTGTTAGGTGTACGTTAACAGAATTTGCCGATGTAGTACAACAGCCTTTTGTTTTTTTCACCCCTCCCACCCTGTGTGTGGGAAAGGGTTGTTTCTTTCATGTTTACAAAGTTTGATGTACATATTTGAAACAGAGAACTAAAGAAGAAGAAGAAGAAGAAGAATGTTTGAGATGAGAGTTATTTCAATGTTTATGGGCCTACCATATCTTTGTTAGTGGGCCGATTAAGCCCAAATTCTGTCTCCATCACAACTAATTGAAGACAAGCACGCAGGATTTTTTATTATATGGTGAATTTTTAAAATTATTAGAATAATTTGAATTTCTTTTAATTTGGAATCATTTTGATTGATTTTATCTATTTCGAATCTTTGAATCCAAAACCTTTTTTTTAAGGTTGTTCTTTTATCTTGAGAGATGGTACATTTACTTCAATTGCGTGCGTCAAATGTGGTTAATAACATAATCAAGATTTTTAATGAGGGTGAAAGTAGTGGACGGATTAATAAATCACCCTGTGTACTCTTCACCGTATGTATCGTAGAAATAACCGTTTAATTAGATCTATAGAGGTAGTTGATGCATCATGAAGTTTATAAATACAGTTACTTTTTCACTATTTACCGTAAATTTTAGGATAGAAAGGCGAGAACATTTGTAGATAACAAGAGAATAGTTGATCTTAGTTTATATTGAAGACGCTAGCATTGACCATAAGATATCTTCATAATAGGAAAAATTGTTTACTTTCTGATGTGCCAAGATTAGCCACATACAATAATATAAGTTTCCCTTTTTGTTTTATTCGATAGATTACTAGATTTTGCCATGGGTTTGAATATCCGTACCTTATATGTGTATGAGATCACTTAAACAATGTAAATAAGAGAGATTATTAGACAATATGAGTGGTCCAATTAATTGATGATGTGCATAAGATAATGTATATGAGTGGCCCAATTTATTGAATTTCCTTTTATCGCTGAAAAAACCCGTCCCTCTTCACTACTTATGAGCTAGTATATACCAGTGTTCTAAAAATCGGCCGAGGCGGAGGCGGTCCAAAACCTTTACGATTTTAGTGTAAAGGTTTGAAAAATCGGTTTTTTGCCTGTGAGGCGGTTTGAGGCGGTCCGAGGCGGTCAAACATTTAAGGCGGGTCAAACTTTGGTGGCAAAAATCGGTCAAAAATCGGTTTTTTTTTTTTTTTTTTTTTTTTTTTTTTTTTTTTTTTTAAAAATCAAAATGAAAGTTGGGATTTTAATAAAAGAAATGAGTTTATGCTTTATTTTGTTTATGTTAATTATTATTGTTAAAGAACTAATGATGTATGCCAAGAATGTATGTAAATTCAAAAAAAAAATGTCTTTTTATTTATATTTTATAAGGATATTTATGTATTATGATCTTATTATTGTTAAACTTTTATTATGTTATTAGAATATATACATGATCGAGATATAACTATGTTTAAATATTTTTTATCTATGTTTTGAGTATTTATAGATAATATCTACAAATATATTATATTAAATTTTAAAAACCGATTTATTTCTGATTTATCACCGATTAATCACCGGCGCACCGATTAATCGTGAGTCGGTGCCTGACCGACTCGGACTCGATTACCGATTTTTACAACCTTGGTATATACTACTACAATATGGCTCTTCTGGGCTTGTTTACATTTCCTAGGTAAAAAAGCCGTCATTACGTCTATTCTGCCACGTGACAAGTTCTTATTGGTCATTTTTACTGTTCTCCGGTCAGTTCAAGCCTGACACTCCTCTTCTACTTTTCAAAATTGTCCCCTGCACGGCCTTCGAGAGCCCGACGTAACGCTTACTTCGTCAGGCCTAAAATTACCTCGTCAACCTATCTCGTAGGTTTTATACTCCGCATTTTATCCTTTGCGGTCTGTTATGGTTCTTTCTGTATTGGGCTTCCCTTCAATCCTACTTGGGCCTTCCTTATGGGCCCAAGTTAGTCCTGACCATCCATGCTTCCTTTAGTTGGGCTTGGGCCTTTCCTCTACAACCAATTTAGTCCGAATCACTTCCTTTCTGATATATTCTTGTAATACTGTTTATATAATTATATCGTATTTAAAAGCAGTTCACAAATGTATACTTGCCACATTATATCTCATTTTTCATTGTATGATTATATTATATTTAAAATCAAGAATTAGCAATTGAGCACCGTGTCTCCATCATGGTAGCTTGTGTTATATAGAATCATATTAACAAATCATTAAATAAATAAATAAATAAATGTGGTGTGTAAGAGTTCATCCTAATTGACGATTGAAGATGGCTGTCACCCTATTAAACTAAAGTTTATTAGGTCAATACTCTTACACAGTCTTGTTTTTTTATTTTTCTTTTAATTAATTTTCTGGTTTCACCAAACACATTTTCAACTTCCAACCATTTAAAAAATTGATGCTCAATCAAATACGACCCAAATCTCAACTTTCAAAAAATAATTCAAAAGCCTGATCTAACATAATTGACTGATCTAAATTTAAATAGATGAATTGCAACTTGGCCTCAAAGTCACCATTTAGTAGAAGCTACCCTGGTTTTCACTTAATATATTGAATAGTAGGTCCACTATTTATTAAGGATAAATTACGAAAAAAATCCTGCTCAATTTAGGTTTAATTATGAAAAACACCTCCACCTCATTGTAATTACTAAAATTCCCCTAAAGTTTGTTTCCGTCTTACACCAACCCTCTTATACAGTGTGATTTCTCAGGGAATCTTTTTTGGGAAATATTCCCTGAAATAAAAGTGTTTCCGTGAAAATCACACCATAAAGGAATGGGTGTAAGAAGGAAACAAATATTGGGGGGGGGGGGGGTTATAATTATGGATAGATGGGGTATTTTTCATAATTTAGCCTAAGTTTAGGGACATTTTCATAATTTACCCATTAATTAATCAAATACTTGGGTCCTGTTGGTAGATTTGATTGACTTTAATATATCACTACTCAAGGTCATTTTTGTTCTAAAAAGTCATTTTTAATTTGTAGTCGTTAGCCGAAATTGAAAATTTCCAATCATAAAAAAATCATTTTTATGTTTTTGGATTTAGAATTTAAAAGAGGTGAAATCAGATATTTCAATGTCGACCGTTCTTATTGAAAAAGAAAAAAAAAAGGAAAAGAAAAGAAAAAGAAGTTTGATTAATTATGCATTCAATCACTCTTGTTGTTCTAGGCCTCGTTTGGTTGAGGAAATTAGTTATAATTAACTAAATAATTGGATTTTTTTTTTATGTTTGATAAATCCAATAACTTGTGGAGTAGAGTAGACCTGTAAATGTAAGTATTATTTTATCATCCCTTATCATTCGTGTAGAAAACTTTTTCATTGGACTTTTTGAGGTCCAATAAAATAATTTATCTTGATTAATCCTATCTTAACAACCAAACAAGGCTTAGTGAAATCAATAATGTTCATAGTCTTCGTAGTGGTTAGGTTGTGTAGTCACAGTAGGCATTCAATCTTAAGAAGCCTGTTGAACTGGAAACTATAAAAATAATGTAAAATAAAAAATGTACAAAATTCTAAAAAAAAATCAGAGAAATAAATTTGAAGTTTTTTTTTAACTGTTAATAAATATTATTTAATTAACTATTAACATACGAGTTGATTAATTAATCTCCCTGTAAATAGTAGCAGTCTATATATATATATATATAGCTTCAAAACATAAGCTTCAAAGATTAGATTATAGTTATAATAAGACTGCAACAAGTCTGAAATGGAAAAAAATGATATAATTAATGCAATAAATATGATAATATAGCGATCGACGATATATCGACCACCGTAGTATCCGTTCTTCGATGCAAAAGTCTACAATCCCATCTGTCAACATTTTTTTTTCTCAAGCCAGTCTATAATTAATTTCTCCTTAATTATTTTAATGCAATTAATTAACAAAAACTAGCTCTCTTCCATTATATATATTTTCAACTCCATGTGATATATTAAAATAAAAAATAAATAAAAAAATACTCTCTTCCAGTTGACATTTTGAAGTAGATCTCTATGCGTGTTTGTACGTACAACGGCTAGAGATGTATGTATGTATGTATGTATGTATGTGTGGACTTAAATTTAATGATTTTTTTAAATAAAAAAAAAACAAAAATATATATAAATTGAGATATATAAATATAAGGGCAATACAATTAATACGTTGAAGGGTCTTCAAAAGTTTGGCAGCTAGCAATGGAAGATTTGGTGGGATGTAAGTCAGATGAAGAAAAGATTAATATTAATGAAACTTGCAAATGTAGTGAAGATGTTGTTATAAAGGTAATTAGTTATTTAATTTAATTTAATTCTAATTTATTTTTTTTGACTAATTATTATATTGATGATCATGCAGGAAGATAACAACCATGATGAAGTTGAATCGACGAAATTAGAGATGGAGGGCGTGAGAGAAGAAAACGTGAGATTGAAGACTTTGCTCCAACAGATCGAGAGCGATTACAAGGCTCTACAAATGCGATTCACTCGTATTTATCGAAAAGATGGTGATGATGAATTCAATTACAAGATATTAATCGAAAGCCCGATTCTCAATAGTGCTTTTGCGGAAGAAGAGATTAATAATACTGGTGGCGGTGGTGATGATGACGAAGAATTGGAGTTGGTGTCTCTTCGCCTCGGAACAAGCCCACCAATTAGTGACGAGCGGGCCAAGAAGGCGGCGGTAGTAAACAACAACATCAATATTCTTGAAGGCGGGTTGAATAGGTCATGTGTTAGCTTGACTGGAGGGAAGAAAGAAAGTTCGTCGCCGCCGACGAGTAACGTGTCGATGAAGACGCAAAGAAGTGGAGAAGACGGCGAATTAATTTCTCAGACAAGTCTTGTCAAGAGAGCTAGAGTTTGTGTTAGAGCTAGATGCGATACCCCAACTGTGAGTATACTACACCACTTTTTTTTTTTTAATTTCTTCCCATTAAACCAACTTTGGGTCGGGCCGGGCCGGGCTGAGTCGGGTCGGGCCGTGAGAATTGAACTTCTAATATGGGTTTGTATTGCAGATGAACGATGGGTGTCAGTGGAGAAAATACGGGCAGAAAATAGCGAAGGGAAATCCATGCCCACGTGCGTATTATCGTTGCACAGTTTCTCCAACATGTCCCGTCAGAAAACAGGTAATTAATTAATTAATAACTTTTTTTTTTAATGATCTTTGCAAATTTATTTGAGATGTAATATGTTTTAATTTGATTTTTGATTTATATTTGCAATATATGTATGTATGTATGTATTTCAGGTGCAACGGTGTATGGATGACATGTCGATCTTGATCACAACTTACGAAGGGGCCCACAACCACCCACTCCCCATGTCAGCCACCGCAATGGCTTCCACCACCTCGGCGGCAGCTTCCATGCTCCTCTCCGGCTCTTCCTCCACTTCTCAGCCGCCGTCAGCCACCGCATCTCCACCACCACCGCCGAATATGTACGGACCACCACCACCGTCGACTTTCCGCCCATACGATCATAACTCCAGATCAATAACGGCGGCACAGCCGAGCTACTTCTTGCCGCAGTACAACTCTCCGTCGACTCCGTTTCCCACCATAACCCTAGACCTCACCACCAATCCCTCAGCCGCCGCATACGGTGGTTTCGGCCTCTATTCCTCAACTACTAATAATACTTCTCGAAACAACAATATTCCTCGAGTTTCTCCGACAAGCCTGAACTTTTCTTCCGGTGGAGGAATATTCTCTCATGGGACGACGACGGCATTTCCCTACAGAAACGACCAACACCACTATTCTTTATTGCCGGAAAAACCGGCACACGAACAACATGAATATCGGTCCTACTTGGAGAAGTTTAACCAGGCTTCGTCGCAACAGGCTCTAACCGAGACACTAACCAAAGTTATTACTTCCGACGCAAGTTTTCGGTCTGTAATAGCAGCTGCGATTTCGACAATGACTGCTAATAATAATGGAGGCGGAGAAATTGGTGGCGGCGGCCCAAACTTGAAATGGGGTGGCGGTGATCAGCATATTCCGGCGACAGATTCAAATCAGCTTACCTGAAAGTAATTAATAGCAGAAAATCTGTCTTTGATTCGTAACTATAGATGCATTTTTTTTTTATCAGAAAAGCTTGTTGTTTGCTGGGGAAAATTGTGTACAAATATGTTTGTTTCGGGTATTTGAATGTCGATAATTTACGCCAAATATTAAATCCAGCGCGGAATAATATTTGGAGTGAATTATCGGTATCAGTATGAAATAAAAGTTTTGGATTTTTCAAGTACATTGTACAATTAATCGAGGAATTCTTCTGTCATTCTATTAGGCAGAATATTTCTACGAACATCGAACAAATAAATCGAAATTGAAGACGACCTCGATTTAATTGCGTATTGTTTGTAAATCTATCTTTATGTAGACTTTCAAATATACATTATTCAAAATTTTAATGCCTTTCTTAGCAAATAATAACAATAAAAGATTTTAAAAAACTCAGTTAATAAAAATGTGAAGTTATAACAAATTGAATTTCATGAACCCTTTAGTAGCTCATGAAAAGCCTCCTGGGGAATATCCACCGAGCCAACGCGTTTCATTCGCTTCTTTCCTTCTTTTTGCTTTTCCAACAATTTCTTCTTCCTCGTAATATCGCCTCCGTAACATTTCGCAAGAACGTTCTTCCTCATAGCCGATACCCTAAGAAACGATATAAAATAATTTCATAAAAATCAGGCATTTCAAATTTGCATAATAAAGTGCAGATCGATCTTTCAAATACTTACGTTTCCCTGGCAATGATCTTTGATCCGATAGCAGCTTGTATGGTTATCTCAAACATTTGCCTGTTCAATAACGTATTAATAATATTGTTCCACAAAAAAAAAAGTAATTAAAAATGATTTTTGTATGGTTGGACACCTGTCGATGAATTTCTTTAGCTTCTCGACGAGTTCACGACCTACACGCGGTGCCTTCAGTCTATGAACTATAGTTGCCATAGCATCAACTGATTGTCCGTTTAATAAAATATCGAGTTTCACTAAATCGGAGACCTGATAGCTGTCAAAAACCCAACGTGCAGTTCGTGCGATTAGTTCCGGCAGCGAAATGGATTACAAGAGTGGGAAAATGGAGAAGAGGAGAGAGAGAGAATCTTACTCTGCTTCCTCATAATCGAAAGATGCATAACCTGAAGTAATGCTCTTCAATTCATTGTAAAAGTCGACAACAACTTCCCTCAACGGTAATCGGTATTTCATCAGCGCTCTTTGACTGCACGCGAAAAAAGAAGAAGTTAATTATACATAAAATATTCCTAGTATATGATAAAATGGTCACTTTATAGAACAAAATTTAAAATCTTGTGTCTTAGCTATAGTCACCTGTCGATAAACGAGTACTCCAACTGTTCGCCTCGTCTTTCAGAACAAAGGGTAATAATGGCGCCCACATATCTTCAAGTGAAACAACAATGGTGGTTACACATTTAATGCTCTTCAATTGTTTCTCAACATGGAAAAACGGGTCGATTAGAATCATATAGAGCTTGGGAGCTTACTCACTAGGAAGTATAATAGTGGCTATTACAGTAGGTTCCCAACAAGCTGATATTCGCTGTTTAGGATTCGAAGGAAGCATGGCAGGATTTTGAATATGTACTTTGCTGTTAGAAAGAGAGGAAAACAATCAAATTGTTATCGAAGCATAAAAAATAAATAAAACCACAACAAGGGAAAATAAGCCACATACGTCTCATCTGCGTACTCAAAAATATAAGGCACTGTCGGAACAGTAGAAATCACATGAACTCCATGTTCCTATTTTCACAGTAGAAATCAAGAATTCAAATAAAAACAGTTTAAACGAAAAATTAATATTTGACTGGGAATACCGGGTTGATTTAATAAAGCAATTGAAAAAAGGTAAGAGAATATACTTGTTCGAGGCGTTGGTGGAAAACATCCATATGGAGCAAGCCCAAGAAACCGCATCTGTTAGACACTAAAAATCATCAAAACAGATATATCGAGTTTTAGCAATAGATGCAGCTTTATGCTAACCTGAATCCCAAGCCAAGTGCTGTGCTGCTTTCTTTCGTAACAGATACACTAGCATCGTTACAAGTGAGTCTTTCAATTGCATTACTGAGTGCTTCAAAATCGGATCCATCCGCTGGGTACACACCCGAAAACACCATATGTTTCACCGGCTTGAAACCTTTCAACATAAAAAAAAAGTAGAGGATAATTTAAATAAATAAGTAAAGACCACACGAGATGAAATAAACCAATATAATACCTGGAAGTGGCTGTATAGTGGTTCGAGTATGATGAAGGGTATCTCCAATACGTGCCTCTTTAGTCGACCTCATGCCACTAACAACATACCCCACTTGCCCTGTTAAAAGAACTCCCGTCTGAGTTAACTCAGGGTGCATTATTCCAACATCGAAAACTTCATAAGATTGTCCAGTTGCAACAGACGAAATCTTTTCACCCTTCCGCAAAGTCCCATCAACAATTGCCACGTGGCATATAACTCCCCTGTATTCGTCATAGTAAGAATCCAGCAAAAGCATGCGCAGAGGTGCGCTATAATCCCCAGGAGGGTGAGGTATTCGCTCTATCACTGCAGGAAGAACGTGCTCGAGGCCTAGACCTGTCTTGGCTGATGTCAGCAGAGCTTCGTTTGGATCGAGATCGAAAATGGATTTCAGCTGTTCTTTGACCCGGTTTGGGTCGGCTGTTGGCTGATCGATTTTGTTAATGACGGGAATTATCGTCAGGTTTGCTTCGAAAGCTAGGTAGAAATTGGCAACGGTTTGTGCCTGCACACCTTGAGCTGCGTCGACAACAAGGAGGACACCTTGGCAAGCTGCTAAAGATCTCGACACCTCGTAGTTAAAGTCTACGTGTCCAGGCGTGTCGATTAGGTTCAGTAAGAAATTTGATTCAGCACCGAGGTAATTGTGCCGATGAAACATCGTTGCTGTCTGGGCCTTCACAGTTATTCCTCGCTCTTTCTCTACCTAAGACAATGAAAATTATCTCAATAAATAATAATCGACTCAATCTATATACCTTCACAGTTCACTCATTCCTCAACACAAATCATTCCAGTTCTACACAGTTCGAAGGTACATGTGTAACTTTAAAAAACGGACTCCAAAAATATTATCGAACTTGTATTTCAGTCCCTTTAAATGGTAAAACAAATTAAAAGGGAAAAACAATGCCATTGATTAGTCATCCATCCTCCACTAATTTAAGAAAAATCGGCAATCAATTACAACCAAAAACTTAATGTTCACGCATCTTTAGATTAGAAATTAACACAATTAAGTACACAAGTTCCAGCATTGTTCAAAATCAAAACTTAAAACTCCTCTACATATGTGTAACCAGCAGCATATAACATTCAGCTCCCAAAACTCCTTAATCATGAAAATAAACAAACACACCTGCAGTTTATCCAAATACTGGGATTGCCCATGAACTTTCCTAATAGTTCCGGTGAGCTCCAAAAGCCGGTCGGCGAGGGTTGATTTGCCGTGGTCGACATGCGCGATAATCGAAAAGTTGCGGATTTTGTCGGAAGGGAATTGACTGAGGTCTATGGTAGGGTCTTCCTTGAAATGCGACGCGAAAAACGCAAATTGAGTACAGCCCAAAATTGGATGCAAATACGGAGCCGAATCTAATCTTCTGGATTTATAATTACAAGATAAAAGATCGAATTGAATTCTGTGTGATTTAAGGGTTTTTGAAGCTCTGTGTAAAGAATACATCTTTGGAAAGTTAACACCCAGAGATTGAGGTTTAAATTAGGGTTTAGGCTGCTCCTGCAGTATTCACCATTCCCGCATTCGCATCTATAACGATTCACGTGGATTCACCACAAAACGCTAATCTCTTTATTAACAAAGACCATTTTTTTTTTTTACTAATTTCATTTCATATTTTCTTATATTTTATTTCCTAGTGTCTGCAAAACCAAAATTTTCGTTTAGTGACTTTGAGCAAAGTTTGATGTAATTATTTATTTTAAAATTCGAGTATAAAAACTTTTAGAGTATTAAATTTTTAAGTACTTAATTTGAACATAATAAAATATAAATTATATTTCTATATAAATTAATAGAGATTTGAGAAACGACGTCGGTTGCATGTCTGACCCTATATTTGGCTCTGCCACTTCATATATTATACGATTTTAACCGATAAAGTTCAACGAGCGTAACATTGAACAAACCATGTCGAAATTAAATAAAGTTCATATTTTTTTGAGTAAATATTTAAATTACATAAAAGTAAGTAATTAATAAAACAAAGTGTTGGTTTGGTGCAACTAACCCAACCAAAGGGGGCCTGTGCACAAAAAAGAAGATAGGCTAATGATAGCAACCCTAGTTGGGCCACGGCCCACTATATACCCTACAACTTAATTACGATTGCCCCATTACCTCAATTTTCAAGCTTATAACAACCTACGAACTTAACGTTAACATCTCTTTACATGCTTATAACTTTTCTAATTATTATTATTATTATTATTATTATTATTATTATTTAATTACTCTTTTATACAGTAAAACCTCGATAATTAATATCCGATAAGTTAAGAACCTTGTTTACATAATTCTTTTTTATCCAACTCGGTAAAAACATATTATATTATTAGTTCGATAATTTAATATTTTGCTATAATAAAATTTTACTAATTCCAATTTATTAATCTATAGATCTTTAACTGGATTAATAATATAATAATAATATTGTTAGCATTAACACTAACAGTTAAATATGCTCATAATAATTATAATAATTAAAATAAGAGTAAATTACAACCACCCTTTATGTTATGGTTAATTTATAAAAAAAATCTTTTTTTTTTGGATAATTACATCTACCTCTCAACTACGTTTTTTTTTACATCTCCACCCTTATGGTGTTAAATTCAACATAATTATCTAGATTTCGTGGAATGTGTTCTATTTTGTACTCGTTTTGTGTAAAAATACAGTTTTTGATGCACCACAATCTGATATATACAAGCCAAAAAACACATATTACGACCATCTTGCTTCAAAATGTGGAGTTCGAATAGGATAAAACGGGTACAAAGGTGATAATATTCCATATAATCTCGAAGATTCCACTAAATTTGATAATCAAAGGTAGACGTGTAAGCATATTTATAATTGAGTGGTGGTTGTAATTACCCAAACCGGAAGGGGTTTTTGTAATTTAACCATACCTCATGGTTGATTGTAATTTACACTTAAAATAAACATATTTGGCAATTTTTTTTTTGCCAGCAGATTCATTAATTGCAATACCCTGGAACAACTTTCCAATAATTAAATTAATCCAGCTGTACCAGTATAAAATTTAATTTTAGTGAATCAGAGTGTTGATTTTTTTCTCAATACGTCGCCGTTTCTGGTTCCTACATATTTTCAATTATTTTCAAAGCGGCACACCACCCACTTTCTACTAAAAGCGACTGTATAGCTACAACTCCACTCACACACACACATATACACACACTCTACTGTACGTATAATCTCTCTCTCTCTCTCTCTACATTTCTGCGTTTCTGGAGTGAGAAGAGTGTGAGGGGGAAGGAGGGGTCCATTTTTCTTTTGTTATGAGAGCATGAAATTAACTCTCTAGGTATGGGCCTTTTTAATTTTTCCCTGCATTTATCTTGCTATTATTTTTACTTCCTTCTCAATCAATCTTTTCACTTTGAATTTACTTTGCATTTATTATTTTTTTTTCCTTTTTGTTCTTTATATTCCTCCGTTGGGTCTATCTCTTTCCTTTGTGATTTGTCGGTTGTTCAAAGAATGTGTTGAGTTGGAAAAGGAACCCCTTTCTTTTCAGGTATAGAAAATGCTAGATCTGAAACCACATTGCCCTAAAACCCACTTCAATTCATGTATTTTTTGAGCTTCTTTGATTCTGCATTTCTGTATATATAGTTGTTGGGCTTTGCTATTCTGTAAAGATTCTGTTGTAGATCTTGCTACATTTTCTGAATTTTTTTTTTGCCCTGCGTACTCTTTGTTTGTTTCTAGAAGGTGTTTGGGTTTGATTCTGCATTTTCTTTCCCTTTCATTGTGACTATAGTTGTTGATTTGTCTTTGTTGCTTTGTTTACACACCAATTCTTTTTTAATTACACCTTTGCTATTACTGTTGGATATTAGGTTTTACATTAATTTCTGCAAATCTATTTTTGTGTAAGTGCAGGAGTTGAATTTTGTCTCTACTACTATGGGGAAGTCTGCCGGAAAGTGGATCAAGACTGTTCTTTTCGGAAAGAAGTATTCGAAATCTAATTTTTCCAAAGTAAGAAATTCTTTGGCTAAAGTTATTAGTGCATTTTACTTGCTGGTAGCTACTTTTACAAGGTTTTTAGGGGCCGATTCAGTTCTCCGCTCTACGAATTTCTTTCCTAATGATTCTTAAGTATGTTGTGATACTAATTAGGTTTTGCTGAACTTATATAAATGTCTGTAGCTTCCAATATTTAGTCGGTGCTTAATTTGGTTTAGTGCCGTCTGCCTCAGACATTATATTATTACGGAATGAACATTATTGGAGATTCTCCAACTTATTGAACTTAAGTTTTGTTACTTCTCCGAGTTCCATTTTGCCTGATCTAGGAAAATACACTGCTTGCAATAGGATTTCGGGATATTCCTTTTTTTTTTTTCTTTAAGATCTGATCTATATTCTGCAGTAGTCTTCTAATGTGCTGTAAAATTTCAAACCCCGTTGTCCTAATTGCGATTTACATTGTGTATGAAGAATGTCACACCTGATAAAAGGACCGGACAAAAGACACCTGCAGAGGATCTACCCGGAAATTCACCAGTGATATCAGATCCTCATCCTCGGCAGATAACCGAGAGAGACATGGAGAATTTGGAGCTCGAAAAAGCCACATCTGGATCTCCGTGCGATGCTATTGCTCTATCTCCAGTGAATCTACAAAACAGTAACTCTGCAGTTGCAGTCAGTGATGCTGAAATGACAAAGCAAGAGGAAGCTGCAACTAAAGCACAAGCCGCCTTTAGGGGCTACTTGGTAATCTTCTCTTACATTGCATATTTACTGTGACGCCTATTTATGACTTTATCTTGTTCGTAGTAATATTCTTGGAGTTTTTGGAACATTGCAATCTTTGCTAAATATATACGAGTCCATCTCGTTTTGTATGCACGAGTCATTGTCTTTATGCAAATCATGAATTTACCAGTCAAAATATACGAAACATCTGGAAAAGTATACATCCAAGCATCCGTATGCAAAGTTTCTTCCTTGGCTTGTTACTGTTATTTATTTTGACTTTTTAACATCTTCGACAACTAAGAGTTTTACATGTTCCATGATATTTATACAGGCCCGTCGAGCTTTTAGGGCTCTCAAGGGTATCATAAGGCTACAAGCTCTTATTCGTGGACACCTTGTTAGGAGACAGGCTGTCGCTACTTTACGTTGCATGCATGCGATTGTTAAGTTCCAAGCACTTGCTCGTGGAAGAAAGGTTCGACTCTCAGATGCTACGCCCGAAACTCAGAATAAGTACAATGTGGTAGCACTTCAGGTAACTCTCATTTTTCCGATGAGATTTTTCTGACATGGCCATAAATCATCAAACACATTTATGTTATCATAGAATACGATAAATCTAACAATGTCTTCTAATCATTTTAATGTTACTTCAAACATATATAAGATTAATTTCTGATATTATTATGGGACAAAGATATGCTACATTTTTATTGCGTCACTGTTTCTATTTGCTCGATATTTTCATTGTTTTGTCTGTTTTTTTGATTTTTTAGATTTTATGTTGAATTATTAATCATTCTATTTTTCAGGTTGCTAAAAAGTTGAATGTTGGAGCAAACTTAATTTTCGGGTCGGAAAAGCTTACAACAAACACCTTTGTCCGCAAGGTTAGATTTTATTTTTATCACATTATTATACTGCTTTATACATGATATAACATTGTTCGAATATACTTGTTCTTTTTTGTACTCTGGTTAATGAGATGTGTGATTTTTTTACTTAATTTCTTGTTTAGCTTCTCGTGATATTGCCAACTGCAATGCCCCTGAGTCTTCAATATGATCCGGCCGAACCGAATTCAGCTTGGAACTGGCTCGAGCGTTGGTCTATATCTCGCTTCTGGGACCCTCCTGTACGAACCAAAAAGATTACCAAGCCCAAGACTCAGAGAAAGCAGGGTGGTGGCCCACAAGCTGTTGATACCGAAGCTGGAAAATCCAAAAGAACCTTCCGGAAGGTTTCAACTGGGGAAAATGGTGCTTTAGCTTCTTCCGAAACGGATAAGCCCAAACGCAACCCAAGGAAAGTTCCGAGCAATCTAACGGAGCCTGCACAAGATCAACCACAAAACGAACTTGAGAGGGTCAAACGCAGCTTGAGAAGGGTTTCCTCTTCAGCAGCCACTGAAAAACCTGAGACAAAACCGGAGACAGAAATCGAGAAACCACAGCCACAGCCACTGCCGAGTGTGGAAGTAGCAACAAATCTGGAAGAAGTAATTTCTTCGGAAAACCCTGCTGATTCGGATGCTGTACTCGATAAGGTGGATATGCTCGAAGCTCCTCCGAAACAGATAACTCACGAGGGTGATGACGTGGCACTCGATGATAATCATCATCAAGTTCTTGAGAAGACTCCTTCCTTGGAAAACGGAGCAAAGATTGAGACTGCTTTAACTTCGGAGGATGCATTGAGCTGTAAGGAAGAACAGAGTGGCGGCAAAGAGAATCACAAGGTTCGAAAGAGGAGATCACTGCCAGCTAAGCAGGAATATACCGAGAATATATCGCAGAATTCTCCGAGCTTGCCGAGTTACATGTTGGCAACTGAATCAGCAAAGGCTAAGCTTAAAGCTCAAGGCTCTTTGAAATTTGGCGAAGAAGGAGCTGAATATGGTAATAATAATGCACGACGGCATTCTCTACCGGCCTCTACTGCTAATGGCAAATTGACATCATTGTCACCTAGGATACAGAAGCCCGTGCAAGGTAATAACAGCACCAAAGGAGTCAGCAAAATTAACAAATCATTGACTACTTCCAGAGATGGTAAGCAGCGTAAAATTCAAAAAAAAAATCTTTTTTTTTTTTTTTCTGTTACCATTTATTTATATATTTATGAATGTGGGATGCATGCTATTTTCAGACAAGGGGCTTTACCCTGGGTGGAGGAGATGAGAGTCGTAGCAGTGTGTTTCTTGCAGAGCCCTATTTGACAAGACGAAAGTGGACAATTGCGAGTCGGTTTGTTTGGTATTATTCGTATTGTGTTTCTTTTAGTACCGAGGGAATCATCATTACCTAGGATTGTATAGTCGGTTGAGGAAGAAAGAGAGGTCAGTTGTTATGACTAATTCGAAAAATTACTCGTGTGCTTTTTTTTTTTTAAGTTTCGTTCGATGTTTTTTCTGTTGCTGTCGTAAAACATTGTAAAACTAACTCTGTCCATGTTGTCTCCTTTGTGTGTGCCCTGTTAAAAGAGTTCAAAGTATATTATTATGTTTTCTAAGATCATATTATATATTATTATCACCAAATTCAGTGTTATTTAGATAGAAATTATATTTTCTAAGCATGGACACGTGTCATCAGTTTCTTATACAGAAGGCGAAGAGTGAGGTTCCTCCGGTGAAGGTAGGATTAACACGAAATCCACTCCCTACGTACGCACATCCTTTGCTCACTGAAAAACCACCGTAAACGGAGCCTCCTGTATCAAAAGACCATAGTATTTCACCCGATGCAGCATTGATAGCATAAACAGGGCCCGTTTTGTACGTGGACCCCGCAAAGAGAACGCCGTTGGCAATGGTCACTGGATTAGTAGTGGCGTTGTGCGGAACGGCAGTGGACCACAATATTCTGCCTGTACCGGCATCCATCGAAACCCAGCCCCCTCCATTTGTGACGTTGTTCGATGGCAAAAGTGTAAAATTCTGCTTATTGGTGTTGGCTATGTTGGTATAGACTTTTCTATTGTCTGTTGCTGCTCCCCATGTACCCCCTCCTTGTGTACCCCCTGGACCAGCCTCCTACACCAATATATTTTTATATATCATAAACTTTTTTTTTCTTTTCAAAATGAATTAGGCAAACCACAACCCGGGGTGGAAATCGAAACGGGATTCTGATTTCGATCCAAAATTTGACGGAAAACTTACAGTGGACCAGACTAAGTTGCCGTTATTTCGATTCAGTGCCCAAGCAAATCCACTTTTCTGGACAATAGCAACAATGTCGACTTTAGTGGCGTTGGCAAAATTTACAGTCAGCATCATAGGGGCTTCGCCAAAATCCGCATCCGGGTTCGGGCCGGGTGGGCAGTTGGGTGTGGAGGGATCTCTGCAGGCGAACAACCAAACGTCGTACCCGCCTAGCTGTCTATACCACTCGACCCGACCCGAGTTCAAGTCAAGTGCTAAAACGGAGTCGAAGTGGATTTCGGGGCCCACACACTCCTCTGGATTTGTGGGAACGGTTTGATTATTTTGTCTTTCTTGGCATTCTTCAACGGACGGAGGTGCAGAGTAGAGGTTTCCGGTGGCGATGTAGACGTGGTTTCTGACGGCGTCGATGGAAGGGCTGCTGCCCCACAGCGCCGCTCCGGCGTATCCTCCGGTGGTTCGTTGGTTGTCGGGGAGCATGTAGGTTTGCCATATAACGGATCCCGTTTGGATGTCTAACTTGGCCAAGCTTCCCCGGAATGTGCAGCAGTTTTCGATGCTCGATGTTTCTTCTAGTGAAGATACTCCCACGTACAAATATCTGGTAGAACCTTAATATATTAATAGTCGATAAATTAATAATATCGTTTACGTAATAATTTATTCTGATCCCAACTACTTGGTAAAATCGTACTAGTTGGATAATTTAATATCTAACTAAATTACTAGAATTTTGATAGTCCTGACTGTATTAATCTATAAATGGAAACTCAAATTTGGGATAAAACTTTGTTCCAAAATTGGATTGGAAAAAAAATTGGAGATTCTATTTTCTATTAACATATATAATCATAAAAAAATATATAGATCATAACATTAAAAAATGGATTGGGAATCAGAATCATATGTATTCCAATTCTGATAAATCAAAAAAAAATCAGGATTAGAATTTCATAATTTAGTAGGTTCCAATTCCAATTCGAATTCCAATTTCAATAATATATATGTAGAAACTTACTTGGCATAGTAGGTTCCAGACATGGTAATAATGGCGGCAGGATGATTATCAAGCTGTCTCTTCCAAACAAGTTGCCCCGTGGCACGTGCGACAGCGATAACATACGCCGGTCCGTAAATCCCGATAATCAGTTTATCACCGGCGACAGTTGGAGTTGCTCTAGATACTAAGGTGCCATTTGTAAAGAACACAGTCGCGTTTAGTCCGGTTAGCGCTTTTAAGTTCTTTTTCCACACTAGGGTTCCGTCGACTGCTCTCACCGCGTATATGTATCCGTTCCAGCTCGGGAAGTAAACCACCCCACCGAAGATTGCGGGTGTTGCGGTTATGTCGTTTCCGGCGTGGAACTTCCACTTCAGACGCAGCTGATAAGCTGTTGAAGGGCTGATCCTGGTTTCTCCGGCGGCGTATCTCCGGTTGTATATATCACCGCCGTGGTTTAACCAGTTTCCGGTCATTGAGTTAATTTGCTCTTCATCAGACCCCTGCAATGCACCAAAAATACATGAGAGAGAGAGAGAGAGAGAGAGAGAGAGAGAGAGAGAGAGAGAGAGAGAGAGTACAGGTTGGATAGACGAAGCAGGGCATTTGAGCAGACAAAAGAGTAGTGAAATGAAGAGGAGAAGACTGCATGCATGATTATATTCCATGGAATTAAAATGAAGTATTTTTAATATGCAGTATAAGAATCATAATTAAGCTGGATTTATAACTTCTATCAGTTCAGATTTCAGAATTAAATTAATTTAGTTCTTATATATCAAAGTCAGATGTCAGCATAAATAATTAATCTGTTGGCAGTTTGAATTATTCTGGAAAGAAGCAAATTATTAGCAAAAGATAACGACCGTTGAATGTTATTAATATTTAATAGTACAATATCTGATTGGAGCTGGACCTCTCTTGATTTTCTCTGTTACTTTAAACCCAAATAAATGACTACTTGATTAAAATATTGAAGGGTTACGTTTGATTTATCTTAATATATCATTAATGATTAATCAAAGTCAACTGTATATATATTGATCATGTGGCAGCCTAATTTGAACTTTGCTACTGCACAATGACCCGACCGTTTACGCTGTTAATACAATAGAGATTGAATTGCCATTCACTACTAACACTTGTTAATATTAGCCGAGACCCGAAACCCGAAAACTCGATACTGAATTGAAAGTAGGCTTATTTAGCCTCGTAGATTTTTTTATAACAAGATTGTATTAGAAAAAGGCTTATTTGCTTATGGAATTCAAGAACATTCAGTTTAGTAAATAATAAATATCCAGGTCTGAATCGAATATTCTTCCATAAATTGGGGATTTGAGTTTAGGGTAAATTACATCCAACCCCCTGAGGTATGGTTAAATTACGAAAAATCCCCTCATGTTTGGATAATTACAACCATCCCCTCAACTATAATTTTTTTTTACACGTCCATCCTTGCGGTTTCAAATTTAGTGGAATCTTCGAGATTATATGGAATATTATTACTTTTGTACCCGTTTTATCCTATTCGAACTCCACATTTTGAAGCAAGATGATCACAATATGTGTATTTTAGCTTGTATATATCAGATTGTGGTGCATCAGAAACTGTATATTTACACAAAACGAGTACAAACTAGAGCATATTCCACGAAATCTAGATGATTATGTTGAATTCGACACAATAAGAGTGGAGATGTAAGAAAAAATCTTAGTTAAGGAGGTAGATGTAATTATCCAAACAAGAAGTTTTTTTTTTGTAAATTAACCATACCTCAGGAGAGTGGTTGTATAATTTACCCTTGAATTTAATCTCCGCTTCCATGTGTTAATGCATCGTCACTCCCAATTAACATATTGTAAAAGCATATGGGGCTTTTGCTGCAGTTATTATTCTTTTTTTTTCTTTGTAACGAACGATGCCGAAACAAATTATAGAAGTGCATTGAGTAAATTTACAGTATAATCGATTTATTTATCGATGAAAATCGAGATCTATAAATAGGTTACATACGCAAGTTGCCAAGTGCCCATGTGATATATGTCACAAAGTCCACTATCCATATTTCCAATTTCAAACATGCATAGAATAGTGGCATCTTTTTTTTTCAAAAATACATAAATCTATCTTGACGTGTCATTAAAAAAAAACAAAAAAAATTCATGGTGTATAGATGTATACTATTAAATTAAAAAAAAATGATTTTATTACAGTATATATATACATCAATCTGGTCTCCAAGTTGTGGACTGGTGGTCCTCTGTAAAACAAATATTTAAGTCAAAACAACCAGCTATTTATTTCTTGATTATATAAACCAAAATTGCAATAAAAACAAGATTAGTTGACTGTGAGTCTTCTCCCAAACTAATCATTCTCATTTTTAAATCATATTATTCCAATTTTTTTTTATTATTATATTTTTGTTGCGAAATTCGAGGATATAATTTGAACTTCTCTAATTATAATTACTACTTAGCTTCAGTAAAGCAAAAAAAATCATTTCATCATATGCAGCAGAGCTCCAAAAAGATGTCTATATTGATTTCATGTTTTGTGATAGTGTTGGGTTTTGGGGTTGTGTTTGGCAATGGAGATGGGCTTAATATATATGAAATCAAGAAAGGCGATTTCTCTGTTAAAATCACTAACTATGGTGCTAGAATCGTCTCTGTTGTTCTTCCTGACAAAAATGGTGTGACCCTAAAATATATATATTATTCTTCTTTTTAATTAGTGTTTTTATATATATATATATATATATTATATATAGTATGTGTCTGAAAATAACTAAACTTTTTTTTTTTTCTTTCAGGGAAGTTAGCTGATGTTGTTCTTGGTTATGACACAATCAAAGATTACATGGTAATTTTTATTTTTTTAATTTTATTTATTATTTCTCAGTCCAGATTTGCTCATTTGATTTAAATGGTACCTTCCATTTTATGTATATATGTATATATATAACATATATACTATACTATACCTTGTTTCTGAGCTTATTGATTGCTTTTCTTGATTTAGAAAAAAAAAAACAGAACAAAAACATGAATGATCTTTAATCATTGATGATCTATTTTGTGTGGTCTTCACTAGCTGCGTTTATGTCGTACTGCGTGATTATGTTGTCGATTTCGAAGATGAACTGTGATTCTATTGATAAGGTCTACAGCCATTGCTAATAATATTTATTTTCATTTTATCATTTCCGTTTATTACGATTGTGTACAGAACGATACGTGTTACTTCGGAGCCATTGTTGGAAGAGTCGGTAACCGCATCGGCGGTGCTAAATTTACTCTAAATGGAACCGTTTATAAACTCGACGCTAATGAGGGGACTAGCATGCTCCATGGTAATAATTTCTTGATTTTTTTTATCTGGGTATTTATTAAAAAAAATTGATCATTGATTTTCCTCGACTTTTCTATGTAATAACGTATACAGGCGGTAAGAAAGGATTCAGCCAAGTGGCATGGAAGGTGAAAAACCACGTTAAAAACGGTCCATCTCCTTCCATTACGTTAACGTACCACAGTGTTGATGGCGAAGAAGGTAATGATAGTATAAATGTAGCTTACGATTCAACTTTCCAATCTTATTACAACCTCGTTCGATATCCAAACAGGTTTTCCGGGCGATGTTCTGACCTCCGTGACGTATGCTATTATCGAACCTTACAAATTGAGCGTCAAAATGAAGGCGAAAGCTTCGAAAAAGGCAACTCCAGTGAACCTAGCCCAACACAGCTACTGGAATCTCGGCGGCCACAACACCGGGAATATTCTATCCGACGAGCTACAAATATTCGCTTCACACATCACACCCGTCGACAAAAAACTCATCCCCACCGGTAAATTTGTCTCTGTCAAGGCCACCCCTTACGATTTCCTCGAACCTCGTGTGATAAAAGGTCCGATAAAAGAACTTCCAAACGGATCGAGGGGGTACGATATCAACTACGTGGTTGACGGTCGCAACGGGCTTAAAATGAAGCCAATAGCCGTAGTGTACAACAAGAAATCCGGGAGGGTAATGAAGTTGTCTGCTAATACCCCTGGTGTGCAGTTGTATACCGGTAATTACATCAATGATGTCAGGGGCAAAAACGGATATGTTTATAAACCTCACGCGGCTTTGTGTTTGGAGACTCAAGGGTTTCCCGATTCTGTCAATCACCCGAATTTTCCTTCGCAGATTGTTTATCCGGGAAAGAGTTATCGACACTATATGATGTTTACGTTTTCGATCAAGAAATGATGAGTACTTCCGATTCATTACGATGAACTTTATGTTGTAGTAAATTCATTTGAGCTTTAATCACATTGTATTATCTCTCTTTATCAACATCATTAATGCTAGATAATCCTAAAAATCTTTGGAGATTATTAGATATGATGCAATCAATGAATGCATTGTTTTTTAATACGAAGAAATCTGAAATTTCACCACAGTTCGATCCGCGATAAACGAAAAATGAAAACATCTTATTATCCTTCCGTTTTTCTTCTTTGTCTCCTCGTCATTCTGTTATCGTTCTGTATTGCGTCAGACGCGCGTGCTGGTTCGTATGATCACCTAGTACTAGTGTACATATGGCCGAACGCATTCTGCTCGAACAAACGAGTCCACTGTAAAACACCGGTGCCTCAGAATTTTACGGTACACGGACTTTGGCCAACTGATAAAACCGGAAAAACTTTGGTGTACTGTAATAAATCTGGAAGCATATCTTCGGCTGTGAGTTTTCCTTAATTCATATAATCGCTGTAGTGATTTATAATTATTATTTTTTATTGACAATGGTTAATGTATATATATATATATATATATATATATATATATATATATATATATATATATATATATATATATATATATATATATATAGTTAAGCAAGTACGAGAAACAGCTGGCGAATGCATGGCCTTCGCTTCGTCGGGACTTGGCAAACAGGGAACTCTGGCAATACCAGTGGGAGAAACACGGTACGTGCGTGCTGCCGAAAATGACGGTTCTGCAGTATCTGCAAGTGATTATTACGCAGGCGAGGAGGTTCGATTTTGTGAGGGCTCTAAAAAAGAACGGCATTACTACGAATGGTGCGTTGTCGTACTCGAGGAAGACGGTGGAAGCTTCGATTAGAGAGGAGATTGGAGGGAGACACTTTTATATATCATGCCAAAAATCAAGAAAAGGTGTTCTGGTGATCAAAGAGATTTATATATGTCTCGATGGAAACACGGTTATATCTTGTCCTTATATCGATAATCAGAGAGGATGCGGTGGTGGTGGTGGTGGTGGTGGTGGTGGTAAGAACATAAGTCTTGGTTTTACTGCTGCTTCATCAAGGATTTATGCATGATGAAGATGAACTATAATATATCATGTGTTAATGTAATGTCAAATAATTGTTTTGGAAATTAGAACTAGAGATAATGTGATGTTCTATATATATATATATATATATATATATATATGATTCATTACATAATTTGAAAGTCCTAACAGAAGCTTTGTGTTTTTCAGATTTGTATGTAATTAATTAATTTGAGTTGAATTAAAGATGGGAATTAATTAATTTGAGTTGAATTAAAGATGAGTCCATTAGAACCCTATCGGATTAATGTATCCAATGCATTATCTCGTTAGAGTTTCTAACTAGGTTTTAGAGGGGTGAGTGTAATTATCAATACCATATGAACCTTAAAATTATTTAAGCATACCTCAAGGGTATGGGTGTAATTTACCCAAAAAAAAACCGAGATATAAAAGAAGGGTAAATTACAACCACCCCTGAGTTATGGTCAAATTACGAAACCCCCCTCCTATTTGGGTAATTACATCCACCCATCAACTATAAATCTTCTTACACATCCACCCTTGCAGTTTCAAATTTAGTGGAATTTTCGAGATTATATGAAATATTATCACTTTTGTACCCATTTTATCTCATTCGAACTCCACATTTTGAAACAAGATGATCATAATATGTGTTTTTTGGCTTGTATATATCAGATTGTGGTGCATCAGAAACTGTATTTTACACAAAACAAGTACAAACTAGAGCACATTTCACGAAATCTATACGATTACGTTAAATTTGACACTACAAGGGTGGAGCTGTAAGAAAAAATCATAGTTGAGGAGGGTAGATGTAATTATCAAAACAAGAGGGGTTTGTTCGTAAATTGACCATACCTAAGGGGTGATTGTAATATTCCCAAAAAAGAAAGTGAAAGCCAAAAGCGTGTTGTATGTAAAAGCAACTTTACGCGAGGACAGTTGAAATTTGACAGCTATACATACGGCTCGTCGGCTCGGCGCATTGCCAGAGGTTTGAAGAATGGCTGCACTCTTGCCTTCGGCTTCTCTGCTCCAATTCACCATCAAAGGTTCAATTTCTTTTCCTTTGCAATTCATCGAACAGTTGACGTGCATTATACAGAAATTTAAGAGAAGAAAAAAAATTCAGTAAATTAACCACCGCTATAATGGCTGCGTAGGCGAATTGGGGGATTGCAGATTAGCCCATTTTCCAATTCGCGATAAGAAGAGAGCCCAATTTCAACAATACAAGCCTTGTGTTGTAAAATCAATGTGCGCTGCGAAATTTCAAAAGAAGAAAGTTTGGGTATGGACGGAGAAGAAGGAGGTGATGACCGCCGCCGTGGAGAGGGGCTGGAATACTTTTATCTTTCCCCATCACTTCCGTGAACTCGCCGCCGATTGGTCCTGTAAGCACATAGCCTGTAAATATTCTGTTATTTAGTTACACTTTTATGACATTTTATCATAGTTCTAATTATGGAAAATGTTGCAGCTATTGCATTATTGTATCCTCTCTTCATTGAAGAAGGAGGACTCTTTGATGGCGAGCACAAGAAAATCGCCGCTTTCTTTGAGATTTCTTCGCCGGAGCAATTGGAGAAGCTCCAACCATTGGATGAACTAGCAGATAATGTTGTCATCAATCTGCTTGACTGGCAGGTAATTGTATCGCTTTCGACCCTGTTCGATTTTCTTTACGTTTCACTGGTGTTCTTAATTTGTTGGATGATTCTGTAGTGATGTTCAAACTAGAGTTACCGTTTTGTAGTATTTGCTAATTGCAACCTAATCCTTAATTGATCACATTACCATTACCTAATAAGAGCTGAACATTTCACTTTGTTTTGTCCACTTGTACATATTTGTAAATATGCAGTGTTGAATTGGTATTTCTCGATACATCAAATTTTATACGCTTCTTTAGGTGATACCTGCAGAAAATATTGTTGCAGCAATTCAAGGCACTCAGAAAACAGTCTTTGCAGTTTCAAAGACATCATCCGAAGCTCAAACGTTCTTCGAGGTAGTTTCGTTTATTGGAAATAAATCTTATGAAGGAGATCTCTTTATCGAGTTTATGAATGCTTCGGGTGTTGTTTTGGGGAGCTTTCTGTTTTTTCACTCGATGCATCTACTAGTAGGCCTTGGAGCAAGGATTGGGTGGTGTGGTTTTGAAAACCGAGGATGTTGAATCCATCTTAGAGCTTAAGGTAAACGCCATTTAGTACCGTCGTTTTATTTTATTTATTTATTTATTATTATTTTGTTAACGACGCTGTGGACATAATTTCAGGATTATCTAGAGAGAAGAAACGAAGAAGGCAGTGTTTTGGAGTTGACAAAAGCCAGGGTAACTAATGTTGAAATGGTTGGAATGGGGGACCGTGTATGTGTCGATATCTGCAGCATAATGAAACCCGGTGAAGGCCTTCTGGTTTGACTCTAACTTATACCATTGACCTTCTTTATAGATTTTCTTGATGATCATAAAATACGAATAACTTGTGTATGTATGTGGTTTTCTTGAAGGTTGGATCTTTTGCAAGAGGGCTCTTCCTCGTTCATTCAGAGTGCTTAGAGTCAAATTACATTTCTAGCAGGCCTTTTCGGGTCAATGCAGTGAGTGTTTTTCTTTTCTTAATTATTATAAAAAAACAAAAATAGGATGAATATCCTAATAACAGAGTCGATTGGATATATATATATAGGGGCCAGTGCATGCCTATGTTGCCATTCCAGGGGGGAAAACTAGCTACCTCTCGGAACTGAAAGCAGGGAAAGAGGTAATTGTTGTTGACCAAAACGGGAGGCAGCGAATAGCCATTGTTGGTCGTGTGAAGATAGAGACTAGACAATTAATACTAGTGGAGGCAAAGGTTTATTTTATATTCTTTCTTTTTTTATTTTTGTAAATGTAAATATAGTCTGTAAATGAGCCATAAGATGTATGTATTGTTTGATTGGCTGAATACAGAGAGATGAAGACAAAGAAACTTCCTACAGCATTCTGTTACAAAATGCTGAAACGGTGGCTTTAGTCTCGTCACCTGGAGGTAATTAATATCATTGTACAGATTGTTGTTTATTTGTTCGAAGCATTATTTGTTTACTTTTTCATCGTGTGATCTATGGCAGATGGAAATCAACGAAGAGCGATTCCGGTGACGTCACTGAAATTAGGTGATGAGATATTGTTGAGAGTACAGGGTGGTGCTAGGCACACTGGGATAGAGATACAAGAATTCATTCTTGAGAAATGACATTAATATTCATGAATTGTTTAATGCAAGATTATTTTTTTGTAGATCAAATTTTGTACAATGCTCTTGTTTCACATTTACCATTGTGAAGTCGAAATCCAACGGATTGGATTGGTTTCGAAAAAGTATATGACTTTTTTGAAGTAAATTATTTCCAATTTTGGAAAAAAACTCAAATTTAGAGTCAGAAATCGAAATGAAAAAAATTGTTATGAAGTCAGAAAATTTCATGTCGAAATCAATGGAATTTCGAAATTTCATTTCGGTTGTTACCCCTGAAATAATACAATAGATACGCATAATATACTAATAAAATATAATTCTATGAATTCCAATCCTGAATTTTTCGGATAAAAACGAAAATCATAATTTTAATTAGAATGAAAGAATTTTATTTTTATGAAAAGTCGAAAATTTTGGGTCGGCATCGACAGAATCTGTAAATTTCTATCTTCCATTATTAACAAAAGCAAAACTTCAGTTTGCCAACTAAGACATCTACATATAAACCAAGCTAAATGAAAGACAGAACAATTTCAGACAGCAAACTAATCCTCTTCTCAAGTCAGCATTCATATTCAAAACAGAGCCCATAAAATCTCAGCTCTTCAAAAGTCGCCGCAATCTCAGCTAAAACTCATCTCAAATTCAAATATTCATCTCTACATAATAATAATAACAGCATTAAAGAAAAGCACGTTCCTTAGTATAGCACCAAATCTCACGATTTCTTAGCAACCGGCGATTGAAACGGTGGAACATTATTACTATTATTATGGTACGGGGATCCGTAGTAACGGTTAGGCATGGACGGGCTCCTAGCTGGTGGCTGCAGCCTATTCCCCATTCTAGCATTCAGGCTCGAGCCGCCAGCTCGAGCCGCACTCATAGCCTGGAAATATGAAGACGAGCTAGCCATGTCCGTGAGACCAGGCAGCGGCTCGAGTGCCTCCACAACTTCACTCATCGCAGGCCTAATCTTTGCTTCGCGGCTTAGGCACCGAGCCGCCAGCTGGACGGCTTGCTGGGCCCCTTTAATCGAGAAACGCCCCTCTAGACGAGGGTCTATTAGCTTGTAGAACCTTCTTCTCTCTCCTAGGTAAGGCCTTGCCCATTCCACCAAGTTGTGTTCTCCGTTTGGCCTGCTTTTGTCCATTGATCTTCTTCCCGTTAAAAGTTCGAGTAGAACCACTCCGAAACTGTACACGTCACTCTTAGCTGTCAAATGCCCTACATTGAGAGCAATAAGACGATGAATGAGAAATCAGAAGGGTAAAATAGGAATTTTCTTTGGGGGGTGGGGGTACCTGTCATAACATATTCGGGTGCAGCATAGCCGTAAGTGCCCATGACACGAGTTGATACGTGTGTCTTGTCACCCTCAGGGGCATCTTTGGCAAGCCCAAAATCGGAAAGCTTTGCGTTGTAATCCTGGAACAATATCCGGCAATAAATGACGGCTTTTTTTTAGAATAAAGACGGTTTGTAATAAGACGGTAAATACAGGATTTGCATGCAGTGTACGTACCACATCTAGAAGGATGTTGGAAGTTTTAAAATCTCGATAAATAACTGGTCTTTCAGCTTCTTCGTGAAGATAAGCAAGTCCCTGTGCTGCATCCACTGCAATTTTCATTCTTATAGACCAAGGTAAAGGCAGCGATCCTGTAGCACGTAGAAAATGAAACATATATTGAATATTAATTCAGAAAAAAAGGATAAGAGGAAACATATATTGAATATTCAACTAACTCGATAATGAAACTATACTACATTAGGAAGGCATAAGAATACATACTCTTAAACAAGTGATTCTCCAAGCTTCCCCGAGGCATGAATTCATAGACCAAAAGCCTTTGGTCATCCTCTATGCAATAGCCGATCAACTTAACCAAATGCGGATGTATAAGCTCACCAAGATAACTCACTTCAGCCTGCAATATACCAATAAAATTAAAGCCCAAAAAAACAATCTTTTTAATTCCTTGAATTCAAGAACGAAAAAACGGCTAAAAAAAAGAGTGTAAGAGTTATCGTACAAGCCACTCTCTGTGGCCTTGAAGTCCATCATGGTTGAGAGTTTTGACAGCAACGGTGAGCCCTGTGCCAGGTTTGACCGGCGTGATTCCGTTTTCATTGACCCAACCCTTGAAAACACAGCCGAACCCACCCTCTCCAAGAAGACTATCGGGCCTAAAATTTCTTGTGGCAAGTTTCAACTCATTGTACGAGAATTTTCGAAGCTGAGAAGCTATTTTCAGTTCTTCTTCTATTTTGGGAGTCGATGGAACACTTTCTGCATTGCTGGTTGTTGAAGATGAGATAACTGGAGCAACTGGTTGGTCTCTACTTGTCTCGTTTGTCGATTTACTTTCAGCTGATACACAAAAAAATTAAAAAAAAAAAAAAAAGTAATTCAGTTATGAACATGGCAATAGATGCCAAAGGTAAAACGGAAAGTAAATCAAGAATAAAGTTTTACATTCAAGAGTGTGCAGCACAAGTTAAAAAGTTAAAATCTTAAAACCGCATATGAAAAGATAATTTAGTTCTTGATGTCAACTTTCGATGTCTAAAAGATTGAATTAAAAGCAGAATCCTAGATAATCTATGCAAATTTCCGTCCAACGACAACATATAAAGTCAAATTTGGCCAAATGAGAGATCTCGATAATAATAAAACCGGTGCTCCCGATCAATGTTTTTTACCAAATGAGAATTCTCTATGATAATAGTTATGTTATTGCAACATTAGAGATACTAAACGGCTAAAATAAGGTCAGACCCGACATGCGGAAGTTACATCCAAATTTAATATAAAATCCCTAGTGGTGGAATTTTCATTCTAAGATACGACATATATCGAAAAGAGAACGGACACGTGTAACTTGCATTTAATTTGTGTTTACCGAGTTAATATCTTTAACCAATGTCCGAATAAAGACTAATGATCACCTCAACGGACAAATGTAAGCTTACCATATAATATAATATTTAACGACAACATCCATGATCAGATAGACACCAAATTTGCATGCTAAAATGTACGAAAAGAGCAACTCCGTTGACGGAAAGAATCCATCAGATATTCAAAGCAAATGTATCTATCGATTAACAAAACCAAGCAACAAGATCTAATGCAAAATTCCAGCATCACCTAGCCAATTAAACAGGTAACGGTTAACATTTAACGACACATGCACAAATGGCAAAAATCACATTTGAAGTTTCCAGCACATTGCCCAACCCAAAAAATTAATCGAAACCAGTGTGGAATGGTATGATCAATTAATTGAACATCATCAATTTCAATTAACATCCATAAACAGAACAACATTGCAAAAAAAAAAAAAAAAAGATGTCGTTTAATATTACCATATTGCGAGCTAGAACCACTAACAGAGCTCTCGACTTTGGAGCCGGTAGACAAGCAGCTCCCGAAAAATCGGAATTTAATCCAACATCTATTCTCCCCAGCAACATCTTCATCATCTTCATTAAGTATTTTTCTCCTGACCTTTGATTTTGAATTTCCCAAATCCACAACACCCCCATTGATTGCCTCAGGACCTACCCCCATTTTCTCCAAACCCTAGAACTAAAATACCATAAATAAATAAATAAATAAATAAATAAATAAATAAAAAAGAGAAACACCCAATTGATCAAAACCCAACCTTGTTCACTTAACCCTTATCCAAAGATTCTTTTCTTGAAATTTTCTGTTTTTTTTTTAATTTATTAATAGGTTAAGAAGGGGGTGCTTCCTAATCCAAAGATACCAAACTAACCAGATAAGACAAAGGATTAAAAAAATAAAATCAAAGAAATTTGCTTTTCAACAAAATTTTCGCTAATAATTAAAGAACTAAGAGGAGGGGGGGTACAGTACACCTTTAATGGAGGACGAAAAAAGAAAATTCAAGAAATCAAAAGCAAAATACTCGAGCCCAGATGACAAAAGAATTGAGTGGTGGTTTAAAAATGCAATCTTGGGAGCATTTAAATTAACAATTGGCAAGATTTGAACATGCAGAACAACGAACCACCGCAATCTAAAAAGATCACACACAAAAAGGAACAAACTCTGAAATGTGCATTTCGGTAAATAACAGAGGTTTTACACACAGTCTCTGTTTTTTCTTTTCCTTCACAAATTCAAATCCCCATTGTTTTAAGACACGAGAACATGATTTTTATTTCAAAAAAAGAGACACTTTGGGACACGAGTTGTTCTCGAGGCAGAACAAAAGAACAAAAGTTAACTTAGTGTGCAGTGTGAGTGTGTGTGTGTGTGTGTGTGTGTGTGTGTGTGTGTGTGTGTGTCTGAAGAGAGAGAGAGAGAGAGAGAGAAAGAGGAGAGAGAAACGTGCGTTTTTGCGTGAAAAGATGTGAGAAGATGGACGTGGATTATAGAGGCTTACGGGGGAAAATTAGAACGGTATTGACGGTGACGGAAGAAATATGAAAGCCAAGTACTATTAATCAATAAGTGGAAAAGGTGGGATCCACTTGGGATAAGGAATGAATTTGATTGGTCTGTGAGGTTTGTTAGGTGACAGATGGAGTGAAAGTAGAGAATTATCCTTTCCCTTTTATGGGATTTCCTGCTATTGGACAAGCAAATTTTTCCTTTTCTGAGTATTGGTCATGGAGACTTTAATTTTTGAGTGGGATTTATTAAATATTGCATTTTTTTTTATTTCTTTTGATTTTGCTTTTATTTTTAATTAATTAATTGTTTCTTTACTTGACTTGGATTCATCAAATTTGGACCTTAATTTTCACACATATCTCATACTTTATAGTTTGTTCACACACTGCTAGATTTTTACGAAACACTTAATTTCGAGATTTAAAAAATACGTATATAATTATTGTATATATTTATTTATTAAAATAGGAATTCTTGAAAATGGAAGAGATAGTGGTAATTGTGTAACAGATTTTTTTAATTAATAGCAAAAACATTTACATATGTGGAAGATTAATATGATTAATGGGCCTCTCTCCCTCAAGCAATAAAAATAAGAATGGGCTTTATATATTTCTATTAATTTTGTCTACATTCTTCGGCATGAATAAGCCCAACTCTTTATAAGTTTCTTTTCACCATAAAAATAATTTGCCACTTCTTTTTATTATTAATATATTCGTAAAAGGAAAATAAAAAAATCTAAGTGAAAACCCTCATATATTTCAGTGACATGTAATATATGAGGGTTTATCACCCGGAACCACTCAGTTTTGTCACCATATTCGATATCTCTCGGTCGGGGGTTTATCACAGTCGCTCGCCAAAGAACAAAGAATATATTGAAACTAAGAAGAGATTCAGATTGCGTGTGTACGTACATTCTCTCTCTCTCTCTCTCACACACACACACATATAACGATTTACTATATAGATGTGAAAGAGAAGTTTGTTTCTAAAGTAGAAAGCAAAAAAGGTAAGGTACACTCATAGGTCATGGTCAAACGGGTGTGTCGTTGTAAAATGCGAATGAGCATTCATTGAATGCGGTGATACGATCAGAAGAGAAAGAGAAAATAGAAGAAATATTAGAAATTAGGATCTCGGAGAGAGCCGACGGAGGCTAAATACCTCGACTGAGTGATGAGAGATCGAGAACCGACGATCAAGATCTTTTCAAAAAGGTGTAGAGAGTATTCAAGGTTTGACTGATTACTTGAGCTCTTATACCCCTGGGCTTTGTGCATTGAACCACCTCATAAGAGAGTGGTTTAATGGGATGGAGACAATAATCCATTGGGCCCAAAGTCCAACATGAATATTTAATTTCACCCCATATATATATATATAAAGGAAATCACAAGTTTCAGTGCATAAATTTCGATTGTTATTTGACTCATGTTTTTGTCATGGGAATTGCTTTTTGCGGTTAGAAAATTGCTATTTGCGGTTTTCAACAAAACCCCCCAAAAAAATATTTTATTACACTAAAACCCCCAAAACTTTCCAAACCAATCCAAACCCCCCCCCAAAATGCGTAAAAGCCCAACTTGGGCGCCCATTTATGCAGTGCACGCCCAAGTTGGGCGTGCAAGCTGCATTTGGGCGCCCATTTTGGGCGTTCGACCATTTTTTTGCGAAAAAAAAAGCCCTACAAATCGATTTGTAGGGCTTTTTAACATGAAATTGGTTCCGTAATCGACCTACCCAATGCATATTACACATAAAAGAGTCGAAATTACATCAAAAAATTGAAGCCCAACCCTTCTTCAAGCTTGATTTCGAATTTTCGAATTTTTTTTTTCTTTTTTTTTTGCTATTTGCAGTTTTGGGGGGGTTTTTGATATTTTTAAAAGTTTTGGGGGGTTTTGTTAGAAACCGCGAATAGCAATTTTATGACCGCAAATAGCATTTTCTTTTTGTCATGTATTAAAATTTCTAGGGTAAAATTGTAATAGTATAGTTCACATGAGTGAATGTGGAACACAGTCTGCTATGTAATAATAATGTATATTAATCTTATATTTGTTGGGAAAAAAGAAAAAAAAAAAAAAAGAGAGGAATGAATGAATGAATGATAGTAATAGAAGAAGATAGAGAGAGAGAGAGAGAGAACCCATTCCCGAAGCAACACTTTCTGATTCTGTTTTCTTTCCTTTCCCATCTCCTTGGCTTCTTCTCTCTTGGTTTTTGTGCCCAGGATTCCCTTTTTTTTTCTTTTTTTTTTCTTTTTTTCTTATTAGTATTTGTTTGTCCAGCCAAACATTAATATTCATCCTTAACGAATATATCCATCCACATCTTCCTAGGAACCTTCTTCTAACACAGTTTTTTTCTTTTTTATTATTAATTCATATTATAATATGTTAATTAAATAATGAATTCCATAGAAATGGACAATTGAAGAAAAAGAGAATCTTGTTTCTCTATGCACATTGGAGTACATTATTATTATTATTATTATTATTATTATTATTATTATTATTATTATTATTATTATTATTATATAATGGGGCCATATGCCAGAGTAAGACTCCCACAGTTCCACTCCCCCACATTTTCATATTTGCATGTAACATGGATCCTTCTTCATTATTCATTAATAATAATAAAATATTATTCATCATTTTTTTATTTATTTCCAACAATTATTTAAAAAAATACACAGTGTGGGAATTTTATATCTATATAAAATGTCTTACTCCCAAAAAAAAAAACAAATATAAAAAAAGCGAAAAATAATAATAATATAATAATAATAAGAGAAATTCGTAAAATTTTACTTTTAACCGCCGCCGCCACCACCACCACCGCCGTATTTGGTTTGGATCAATGGAAATTCTGCTGTTCGGCCGGCCACGGCCAAAACTCCTGAGTTTCTTCAATGCCGCCGAACATCGTGCCGAAGCACTCGTTCGAAACTGGCGGCGGTTGGATATGATCCGCCGCCGCCGCGGGCCTTGATGAGCTCATGTGGAGAAGCTGTGTGAAATTAGGGCTAATTGCCGGCGGGTAAACGGCGCCGTTTTTGTTGTTGTTGTTGTTCTGATGATGATTAGGGAAGAACAAAGTAGTGTCTGTGGTGGAAGATGTTTTGTTAAGGTTGACTTCGGAGCTATTCTCACTCCCATTGCTCCAATTCGAACCCTCGTTGTCTTTGTTCAGGTTTATTATCCCCACCGTTGACTCTCTCGCTGCTTTCAGACACACTAACTGCAGGCCGGGCAACATTTATTACTTTTATATCAATATTCTTAATCATAATCAATTAATAATTAAGAATTACTGAATTAATTAAACCTGTGTTTGAAGCTTCTTGTTGTGAGACTTGAGAGAATCATTATCAGACTTAAGTGCATCAAACTGGCGTTTCAAGACATCGTAATCCTTCTCTAATTGCTTGGTTTTCCAACGGGCCCTTCTGTTCTGAAACCAAATAGCAACTTGTCTGGGCTGAAGGCCCAAAGCCCGAGCCAGCTGTACTTTTCTTTCGGGCTCTAATTTGTTACCCAATTCGAAGCTCTTCTCGAGTGCCTTCACCTGCTCCATGTTCAATCTCCTCTTCTTCTCGCCCAGCATCATCATCTGCGAACCATCGTCTGACACGTCATCATCCTGCTGGTATTCTTCGCCCCGATCCATACCCCCACCACCCGTTAACGACATCGATCTCCTCATCAGGTACTCCGTCACACCTTCCAAATAATTAAACACACAAAACCCTAACTAACTCTACAACTATTTTAACTACTTAAACAATTGTAATACATATATATTGTTTACCTTGGAAATCTTGAGGAGCGCAATTAGGTGATGATGTCGGAAAATGGGTGTGGTCGTCGTGGTTACGGAACATGGATTCTGGGATGAAGGCCATTGTTGTTATTGATTGATTAACACTAATTAAACCGAGGTTTGTTTATATATGAAGGGTTCTAATTATTATTATATATATCATTCACGCAGTAATATGTGTTTGAGTGTATGTGATTTTGTTGATGGTGAAAATGGAGAGGCTATGGAGGGGATCGGAGAGATTTTGGAGGAGTGGGAACATGGGGTGGCAAGACTGGTGGACAGCGATAATCTATAATCTCTCTGCACAGACAGACATACACAGAGAGAGAGAGAGAGAGAGAGAGAGAGAGAGAGAGAGAGAGAGAGAGAGAGAGAGAGAGAGAAGTGTTATTTATTGTTCATGAAAGAATCTAGATAAAAAAAAATTACCTACTGCAAATGTGAAAATTTTGCTGCTTCTTTTTTTGTTCTATTTAATTTTATTTTTTGTGTGAGTATATATTTATTTTAGGGTATATTACAACTACCATGAGGTATGATAAAATTACGAAAATTCCCTCTTTTTAGGGTAACTACAAGAGCCCCTCAACTATAAATTTTTTTATATGTCCACTCTTGCGGTTGTAAATTTAGTGGAATCTTCTTGATTATATGGAGTATTATATCACTTTTTACGCGTTTTATCCCATTCGAGCTCCACATTTTGAAGCATGATGATCATCATAACATGTATTTTAATTTTGGCTTGTATATATATCAGATTGTGGTGCATCAAAAACTGTATTTTTACACAAACTAGAGCACATTTCACGGAGTCTAGATGATTATATGTTGAATATGACACCATAAGGTTTGAGGTGTAAGAAGATTGATTGTTGAGGGGTAGATGTAATAATCCAAACGAGAGGGGGGTTTTCGTAATTCGACCATACTTTAGGAGTGGTTGTAATTTACCCTTTATATTTTTATTTATTTATTTAGAATATTTAATATTATGGGAAATAAAATTGATGATTGATGGAGTTTGTATGGGTGGAAACGGACAGAAAAAACTAGCAAGGATATTAATCCAAAAAAGAACTCATCTCGTTATCAAAGCACCTTTCAACATCATTCGTAGACTTGAATTTTTTTTTTTATTATTATTATTTTTATGGCAAATTATTGCTCATTTAATTTTTATTTTATTGTTCTTGAACGTGAATTCATTAATTAAATAAATACAAAGGAATGTCTACAATTGACACCTAAATTTATTCGGTACTACTAGTAATTTTTAATTACTTCTTTCTTTGTGTTGTAAGTCGTCTTTAAAATGTAATTTTATTAACAATATGGATACACTCTTTTTTTTTGTTGCGATAGAAGTCCCTCTTGATCTTGCATTTTGCAAAAATACCCCGCAATTTTATAGGTGTTAACTTTTAAGTCCATGCGAATAGTGTGGACGCGTCTCTGAACATTGCGGACGTAATTCAAATTTGTTTATAGTCGATGAGAAATTAATATGCACTAAGTGAAAACGTCACTATTGAAAAATGAAGAGGTAAAATTTAGACGTTCGTTTGACTAAAAAAGTTTCGTTTCAGACACCTACTCAACCGAATAGGTTAATACATTTCTTACTCTTCAGTTTACATAGGATTGTGTCGAATTTACGACATTTAAATATTTTTGGAAAAAAACGATTTTTTCTTTTGTATTTGCTTTCGGTTTTCAAGAGTTCAAAATACATTTAAGTGTCCGTTATTTACAAAATTTATTACGCACCAAAACAAACAAAAAAAATCCACACATAAGTATCATATTTCAAGAATTGTAGGACCTAGCCATCTTAATTAACAAATTCTTAATGATGAGATTGAGAATGATCTCAATCGGAAAATAGTGCAATTTCCTTTTTTTTTTTTTCTTTTTTCCAAATTACAACACAAATTGAGGATAATTAGATGTTGCACCTGATTATTTTAAACTGAGTCGATTTCAACACATAATCACACACGCACACGATGTAGATATGTGTTTAGTGGACAATTATGTAGTCAGATCACATTTGAACTCCACCCGGTATAAATAACCAGAATCGAATCGGGTTTTTCAGTTCCAGGATAAAATATGTATAGATAGCTGCTATGTTTCCCAAAAATGGTGCCTCTTATATTTCGTCATTTTAAAGCAAAACGTTAAAGAAAAAAAAAGATAGGAAAAAGAGTTAGGCAAAAGATGAGAAATGAAATGGCACCACATCCAAAAAAAAC